ATAATATAGTTATATCAGGTTTCTGCGATTTAAGTATTATTTATATTGAATGTAGTGATTAGTTTTATATAATTATTGTTTTGTAAGAGATTCTTATAGTCCTTTAATGCTTATATTCTAAAGTTCACCTCGTTTTATTACAATGAAGTAAGGGGATCAGTTCAAGTCTTAATTTAGGAATTGCTTTTTTTATTTTCAATTATAGTTCGAAGAGGTTTATTAACAATCATTTGTTATCCACTTTCTATTTTTATAAAAATTATATAATTATTTCACTCCCATCGCTTATACTTTTGTGATGTCTTTATTGTCTTAAGCGCGTTCGCTTTAATACTCTTCAATACCTGAGGTGCTTCCCCAGCCTTGAACATATCAGTATAGAATTTAATAGATCCCTTTGTAATTGCTTTTATAATTAATACAAAAACCTTCTATAAAGATCTGGTTTGTTCTGTAATCTTGATTATGCTATCAATATATACAGATCTTAGTTTATTGATATAGCTTGATTCCGTTTTGCTTAAGGTTTTAATACATACATCGATTACATTTATAATTTTTAAGATTACTTATTGTTTTTTGTTTTTCTTATAGAATTGATTGATTATTGCTTTATAAATAAATTGTATATTATGATTTCCCTTTGTATTAGTTATTACTATGATTATTATCATTATTGTGAGAACAATCGGATTATAACCCAGCATGCTCGGTAGTGCAATAGGATGCTTATAACTGTATATTAACAGTATTATAGTAAGCCCCTTGGGCTATTTCTAGAATATATTATAATGAAATGAATTGTAAAGCTATTTATAAACTTGTTTTGTAAAGATGTTGTGTGTGTTAATTAATATTATAATAATAATTATTAGGGTTAAAGAGAATATTTATTTGAATCTATATTAGTTATAATAATAGCATACTTATTAAAAAGAAGCAAATCACTAATTACATTGAAACTAAATAAACTATACTTAAAGTATATTAAATCATTTTAGATTAATCATAAATACTAAGATTAATATTAAATATATCAATTTAAAGAATATTGTTACGTAAGCGGACACAATAGGAGTTGTAAGCTTTACCACTACGCCACACACGCAATCTGTCCAAAAGGCACAGTATCAGGGATTGTTTCCTGATAGCTTACTACTATATATATATCCATATAACAAATATAGTCATATAAAGTAATTGTAAGATTATTTTTGTGATTAAAATATTAAAGTCAGAATTAAAAACGTAAAGAGATTACTTTTTATTAATAAAATATATAAAAATAATGTAAAAATATATGGCGTACAGACTACATACCAGTAGCGTAGCTTATGTAATTGTCACGAGAGAATTAGCCTATATAAACCCAATTAGCTTAATGCTATCGGTGATATCACTTTTAGCGTGATAGTTATGAGCCCGGTATGCGTTTATAGCGCAGTGGCACAATTCTTCACTTTACCGTACTCTCTTGTAGTGGTTTTCTGTGGGCCCACTTATAAGAGGGTTATTTCAACAGAACCACATTAGTCATCTGATCTTGGCCTATTAGAGCTAATGTGAGGACTCTGCTCTGTTGCCCCACTATTTTCCGCTCAGCCTATTAGATGTATCCAGGGAGAACCTAATACTAGTTGTATCCAATCAGAAGAGAACCTAGATTTGGCATCATATGGAAATAGAAGGAGATCTGCGTATGACTCAATGAGGCTAGTACAGAGATTACTGCCTATACCCAGCTAGTCAGCAATCTCGGGGGTGTGTCACGAGAGAATTAGCCTATATAAACCCAATTAGCTTAATGCTATCGGTGATATCACTTTTAGCGTGATAGTAATCTATATAGCCGATACCTTTAAGTAGTATAGTTTTAGCTTTAATATTAAGACAGCTTTATAATCTAATATTTTATGTCTATTTAAATGTTGAGTTAAAAGTAATTATTTAAAATAATAATCAATTAGAAAGGATTTTGAACTCTAAATCAAAAGAATCTTCTTAAAGAAATAAGCTTTTGAGAAAATCTTTGTAAATTATAATATATATAACAATTATTGAATTATTTAAAAAATGCTATTCAAGATAGATATAATAAAATCAATAGTCTTAAATAAAATTATAATTAATTTAATACGTTTTTAATAATATTATTATATAAATATCATAATAGTTAGTAGAGAATCTTAAATAGCTCTTAATAACCATATAAGTATAGAAATTTCTATAAAAAAAGTAAAGACTAGACAAATAAAATTTAAAAAATAATAAGTGTATTTTAAATTTCAAATAATATTAAATATTTTGAATTCATAATAATAACATTAGTTTTAAAACCTAATTCGCAGGGATTTCAGAGATAAGAACATTTCAAGAATTTAAATTAGACATATATAATATACTTTCGTAAAGAAAAATTCTTTCTCGAGAAATTTTTAATTATAAAAACATAATATTATATAAAGAACTCTCTTAATAAATATATTATAAAGAACAACTTATAAGAGATTACTTAGTAGAAATAGTCTCGAAAGTTAAAAACAATTCTATTTTTAAAATATTAAATTACTTTATAATAATATAAGATTAAGAATTATTCTTCTATAAGTTAAAGAGATAACATAATTTTATAATTTATATACTCTACTATCTTAGTTCTTTTATATTAATTTACTTATTAGTTATTCATTAATAAGCTCTCTTTATTTTATTACATTGATTTCTTTTTCCTCTATTAATCACGATGTTTATACTTCACGCGCTTTAATAGGCTTAGTTCCCTGTACGCTCAGCGGCGCTAAGAAACGCGTGATAAATGGCTCTATCGTAAGCTTGTAGTTACAGATCTGCCTCATGTCTTCAGTAGCCTGCCGCGCTCAGGCTTCATGCTTTGTCTCAACAACAGATCATAGCAGTCTTGCTCGCTTTTTAATCCATTATTGCGACTTTCCTCATCTTGCTGTCGATCGAATTACTTTTTACACAATATTGACACAATCATCAATCGATCCGTCTTCCTTATCAACTCAAGTAAATAATAACTAACCCATCGGGATTCACCATATAATCAACATTGAATTGAATCAATTCACACCCTGATACTACCACAGTCAATCAATCCTGCACTTGCTTCCCTAATTGAAACAACATCCATTACTTTGAAAATCAGGACATCTGAAGAAGGTACACATCCTCTTGCATTTTCCATTTGATACATCTTGTTCTTCATTTATACAGACCAGTACAGTCAGTTTCCATTGTGTCCAAAGATCTAATAATCATGCAGGGCGATCCTACCAAAAAATAACACAACCATCCGACTCCTTCATCCTCGGATACACACCCATCAACGCAAGCAAACTCAAGAAATCATCTCAAAGATCGGAAAATGGCAGCACCAGGAACCCAATCGCTCAAGGTCAGATTCATTATATCATATGGGAATATCCATCTCACAGTTTGTTGAGCAAGGAAACTGACCTTATCTGTGAACAGTGTGTTGTGACAGGAGATGGAGCTGTTGGCAAAGTACTTCTCTCCCGTTTATCAATGTCATAATCAACTCAATCACTGACATTATTCTTACAGACATGTCTCCTGATTTCGTATACTACTAATGCATTTCCTGGAGAATACATCCCTACTGTGTGAGTTTGGATGCTTGGTTACAACAGGCTGGCCACTAACTTGGCTAGATTCGATAATTATTCTGCCAGCGTGATGGTTGACGGAAAGCCAATAAGCTTAGGTCTGTGGGATACTGCTGGACAAGAAGATTATGATAGACTGCGCCCGCTTTCCTACCCCCAAACAGACGTATTTTTGATCTGTTTTTCGATTGTCAGCCCTCCATCTTTCGATAACGTCCGAGCAAAGGTATGTGTGGAAATCTTCAAGATTTGGCAAAATGTGATCATGTTTCACTGACTCAATTGAATGACAGTGGTTTCCTGAGATATCCCACCATGCGCCTGGCGTTCCAATTATTCTTGTTGGAACGAAATTGGATCTTCGAGATGACGAGCCTACCAAAGAATCCCTTAGATCCAAACGAATGGAGCCTGTAACCTATGACCAGGCAAGAGTTGTTGCCAAAGAAATCAGGGCACACAAATATTTAGAATGTTCTGCGCTCACACAGAGAAACCTCAAGAGTGTATTCGATGAGGCAATTCGGTAAGATGTTTTCCTCGAAGCATGATATGACTGAGAAACTGACCATATGAAGTGCTGTCCTGAGCCCACAACAACAAGCACCCAAGCCGAAGAAGTCTAAGTGTACAGTTCTATGAAGTCAGATTGATTTGAGACAACAACAGGCGACGATCTATAGATACAGTGAACTGGTTGGAAGTGCTTTAACTTCTACAATAATCGGAGATGGAGAGTTTCGAGGAGTAAGGTGCGGGGAAATATGAATGGGTTAATACAAGCATTTTCTGTTTATCGACTTTTTCAATTCTATGCTGTAGAATTTGGCATTATATGGATGTGGCAGCATATATCGATGCAACATGCGTCCCTGAAGATACCGAAGATACCTCTTTTTCTGTAGATAGGTCACGATAAATGCATGGTGTAATGAACAAATCAATATGTATCTTGAATTTCATTAATACTGAAGATTGGTTCACTTCAATTTGTATGCTATTTTAAACGGGTATCATACTTCATCCACCGATTCTTGCCTTTCTACTTGGATGGACTCCACTATCCTCAGCCAATACATGCTTCACTCCCTGAACTGCTTCCTTTTTGCTAACCTTAGGATTGTCGGCCTGGTGTTTTTGTTAGTATGTCACGAACAAGCAAATGTACCTCTTGCCAGAGAAGTGTGCCGTCCAGCAGCAGAAACATATAAAATAGGAGAATCATTACCTCTTGTGTTTGTCTCACACGTTGCTCATTCAGTTTCACATTTTTCTCTTTGATTTTGGACCGACGATCTTTAGTGTTACCACCTCCTCCGGCACTATTATAACGGTTAGATGGAACACGAATGGTGGGCGGAAGGATGTTACTCACGTCAGCTCAACGTTGAGCTTCCTTGGTGCTGAGATACCATCATTGAACGTGGATTGGTGAAATTGCTTCAAGCAAGTTTTCATATGATCATAGCCTTCGAACTCAAGGAAAGCACAGCCCCTTGATTTAGTAGGATTTCCCTTCTCCGTGAGATGGCGGACCGATGCAGGTTTAACGGCTGCAAAGTGGTTTTTTATCGATGCTGTGGTAGCAGTGAATGGCAGGTTTCCTAACAACATGTGAGCCCAAAAATAGAAAATGTCTTAGGGAGGGACTCCTACCGATAAAAACAATGAATCTTGCAGCCTTGCTCCCGGAATTTTCACCAGAAACAGCTCCTTGCTTCTTGGTCTTCGAACGTTTTTTCTCGGCACTAATTTGATCGGAGGGTCCAGTAGCATTTTCTGTCGCAGGTTCTGCCGTCTGCGTTATAGACGTTGACTTTGCACCAGCCTCCCTAGCTTTTCTCTCCGCTTTCCTTTCCTTCTTAGACTTCTTAGGCGCAGCTTCGGTCTCCGCTATATCTGATGGCTCTTCAATTTGCATGGGTAGTGAAGACGATTCGGTTGAAGAGGTTTTATTCTTCTTGGACTTGTGATGGGACTCTACGTTCTGATATGCGGTTTCTTCGCTCCTGTTTAAAGTGACGGCCTGGCCAACTTTCGCGTCATCATCTATAGATCTTTTTCTTTTTGTCGAAACGGCGCCATCGTCATTTGCTTCTGTTTCAAGGTCGTCAGGTATGTCGGGAATTGAATTCTCGATCTTGCGCCTTTTGGCTTTTCTTTCGGCTCGAGAAGCTCCCGTTCCAAATCCCATAATGAAACTAAATGAATGGGTGGATAGTTGATGTAGGAATTGGAAGAATAGGCGCGTTATCAGAATGTCAAAATCTAGCCAAACAATTTTCGAGTTTCCAGTTTGATTATTTCCTGTCGCGAGAAATATTCTGCCTATGGCGGTAAGAGGGATTTATCTTTACTAGCCGATTTGGGCTAGTTCTACGATGGGCCAATTTGGTGGGAAAAGCATTCAGTCAATCACTTTCCAATCTTGAAGCTTTGGTAGGGAATTTTATCATAATCTATTTCGTCGCTTAAAGTGCATACTAACGTATATTACTCCTAACAAAACTTCTACCAGGTAGACAAAACACAAAGGAGATGGAAGTGCCTTGAACGCCTCTCGACCACCACTTCTTGTTCTTTTATCCTAGGCTTTCCATGCAATCGTTCGAAGGCTGAGCTGTATCATTAAGAGGCAAAAATACATGGATGTAATATCAAATACTGATGGATCATGTTATGTATGTATCCACCCTTGTCACTTTACACTATTTGAAAGTCGTCCCACGCGCCCTTCCGTTGAGATCCAGAAATTTCCGTCAACTTGCATCTGGCTATCAAAAAGCCAAGTATAATCCTAAAATGGGAGCTAGGATAGGGAACCCTATGCTTGGCAGTATTTTAAAGGCGTCTCCAGTATAAAGAAGGGGACTGGCCGTGACGAGTTCCGGGGCAGTATTATAGGTTGTGTGAATCAAATCAAAAGGCGCTGTGGCGGATGTTGTCACTGATGCTGCCACAGTGTCTCTCGTGAGGTGCACCATGGGTGGAAGTGATGAAAGGGTTACTGCAGGTGCAAATGGGAGAGCACTTTGAATCTGAAGTCCGCTAAGTGTTGGATATCCCGCAATTGACTGCGAGTCTTCTATCTTGACACCTTGAAGATATTCAGCTTCTCTTCGACGCAAAGAATCGTGATTTGAAAGCCGAGGTACTGCTAGAATGATGTTGTCGGAAACGCCAACGCATTGAGTAATTGTATGATGTAACGCGGAACCAAAATGTGCAGTATCGCATTGGGAATATATGCATTTGAAGACGGACTGCAGTAAATCAGTCAGCGTATGGCGTTGAGCATTAGAAGCAACGACAGGGCAAAGCTATGGTATGACCAACGTTATGATATTCTGCATCTTGGCAAAGACATGTGTTTTTGTCCACACATTTACTGACATATTTTGTGTTTTCCCAACACCGCACTGCACAACCTGCAAATAACTGTTAATGTGGTGCGCCTGAATCTCCAAAGAAAAATCTTTACCGGGAGCAGGAAAATTCCCGTCACTTGTAGCGGGATTGTTCACCATTGCCATGGCTAATAGCAAGATGGCACGCCTCATGATATACGTAGTAGTTCGGACACACTCGGTCCCACAATCATAGGATGGTCGCCAAATGACCCTGGAACGTTGCGAGTAGGCACTTTTGTTAGGAATCGTTTTATCAAGAAAACGGGTTCAATGAGTGTGTGGGAACGGTCGGAGGAGAAGTTGTTGTGTTGAGATATGTAGACTAGAACGAATAAGAAGAGGACCAAAAATGAGAGAAGCAGGAAAGCTTCATACTAGCAGCTCTTATTTGGTCAGACCTTCCTCCTCGAGTAACCATGCAACACGGACTTGCTACATCACGCCAAAGCTGCACCAGGCATTTGCACCTTCCTCTGATTATGATTATCTACTTTTATTGAATGTTCTATTTTGAAAATTTATGAAAGGAATTGACAATTGCAGTCAATAAAATAGAATCTGTAACTTATCCGTGGAGCCTTCATATCTCTCCCTGAACGGTTTCTGGCCTAGCCAAGTTGTTAAAGGGATCTGCGTCTCTTTCATCTCAAGTATACCCCTCTTCTTCTGATCAATATGAGAGGCATCGATCACAATTCTCTCCAATCTATCGATTGCGAGCGAACCTTCATCCATCAAATCCTTCAATCTCTGAGGTGTACCGACAGCGATTCCGGTCCTTGAAGATTTTAGAAATCCAATGGAATCCTTGAGCTTGATGTGCTTTGCAAATAACTTTGCAACTTTCACATCTTTGGTCTGAAATTTTCGTACCGCTCTATAAAGTTGTCAGATGAGAACATACATACACATACATACTGCCAAACCCAATCATAACAGGAACGTGACTATACCTAGCAAGATCGGCTGCCCTGAGGCCTGCAGCAGTAACAATGATTGTGTGTGGTGATCCATTCTTCTTTGACGCTGACCAAAGTTTTGTTGTATTGTCAGAAAATTTCTCCAAAAACTCTGGTAAATTATCGAGATTTCGTGGCTTTGTCCATGATGTAGTGTCCTGAACAGCAGAGACTATTACATGCCAATACATTAGCCAAGTTCATAGCATATTTAAGTGTAGGTTCTGTTCACCTGATATGTATCGATCTTCTAATTCAACGGAACTAAGATCACTTTCGAATCTCCTTGTTTGGCTTGCGACATAATCAACTATCAAATGATCGTTCATCTTTGCAATTGCGTTGTTGAGACCAGCCTCGACATCGATATCCTCATCATTAAATGAGGAATGCTTCTTCCTTTTCGCAACTTCGTTAATCTTTTCCTTGGGCCCCTCTTGATCATGATTTCCTCCACGCTTTCTTTTCTTCGAAGCTGGTTTATTGGAAGTACCAGGTCCAGATCCGGTCGTTGGAGCTCTCACTTCTTCAATCAGAGGATCCTGAAGTTCATTTTCAATTGACATTGTGATAGTGTGAGCTCAAGTCGGCGCCGACTCGAAGACTTTCGTAGTGGGAATTGCTGTGAAGTTTTGCGTGAAAGATCCTACTTAGGTTCCTGTGCGGACAGAAATTTTGACTTTGACGATTATGATTCCGATCCTGGTTGTAGCATACACAGAACTTATTAATTGCTTTCTCTTTCTCTTCCTATTTCCCTTTCTCAGCCTTTTTCAATTGAAGTTCTTCATAAAATAATTTAAAGCCTTGCGGATCCACAATTGTATTGCATATCGCTAACGCTAAGATAAGATAAGGTTCGCGCATACAACACTGCAATTACTGTTCTGGACGCGTCTTATCTAAACATTGATATTTCGATCATTGATGTTTAACTCAACACTATGAAATTTCCACTAATAAGTACATGTTAGATTTACTTCGCAACAGAATAAATTTGTCCGTCAAATCGAAATTTATTTTTACCAGGAAAACGACAAAGCATAGTAATTAATATTCTATCTATTTGCCAATAGAAGATATACATCGCTATGAGTGGAGGACCAGAAACTCCTTTGCGCCGCACTTCTACTGCTGGACTTTCTCCAACAGACGCAAGCTATTCGAGAACGCCCAGTCGTGGCTCAAGGTTAGGTGGCTCAGAATTCAGGACCAAGACTCTGACACCCCATGGGAGAGCAGCTTTGCGAGAAGTTGAGGCTCGACGAGCAGGATTGACTCCAGGAAAGGATAGAAGACGAAGTGGTAGACAGCAAAGGGAAACACCTCGAGATGTATTGCGATTATTGAGCAGGACTTTAGCTCCTCAAACCCGTCCGACAATTCCATCTCCTCAAAGAGCACCCAGCAATTCCAGAAGACAGACTTTACTTTTGGATGACGACTTTGACGACGGTCCGAACCTTGTGCCCCCACGACTTTCCATCCCCCTAGATGACGACAATGACGAAGATGATAATGAGGATGACGAAAGTCTTTTGCTTCCTAGTTTGGCGGCTTTAGAGGACGAAAATCTGACCACGCGATCTATCGAGCTTTCAAGGAGAGCTGTCACTGAGAGACCGAGCAGGCTGTTCTCGAGAGGCAGTTTCGGGAGCACCCGTGGAAGCGATCAGTTCGGAAACCTGGACGAAGCAGAATTTGGACGAGATGAAATGGAAACAAGCTTCTTCAATGCAAATGATTTTGAGAATGATGATTTTCGAGAGATGGCTAACTCTCCATTTTTCGGAAGGTAAGTCCAGGAGCCTACATTCAAACAGGCCCATTGAGCTGACGCAAGCTAGTGATCGCGCAGGATTACAGGGAGAATTGGAAACCGCGTTGCATCGCCGGTCTCTTCTACCAGGGCGAAGTAGTGATATCAGACCATACAATTCACCGTCCGAGGAAAGGGATGCGACTTTTGTGTTCACAGTTCCGCAGCCCGAAATACCAGCGCAATTTGAACCTTCGCCATCACCAGAAGATACTTCAACTGCGATGCCTATTATGGACGAAATTTCTTCCCCTCCTACCAATTTTCAAGGAGATGATTTTGAAATGGATGATGAAGCCATGAATGATGAGAGTGACACTCGAAGACTGTCGGATCTTATAATGGACGATGAAGCCATAGACGGTGAAGATGGCACTCGAAGACTGTCGATAGGAGCGTTCGAGGACTCCCGTCTTAGTGATGACGAACCCCTTACAGTATCCGTTCAAAAGGCGATATCAGAAAATTCTAAGAGGACATTCCAGAAGAAGGTTAACAAGGTTTCAAAACATGGGCTGAAATACAAATCATTGCCTCTAGGTGTAGTGAAGAAACATGCAATCAGCCTGGCAAGGAATGGAGCCGGCAAAGGAGACAAGCTGAGTGGGGATGCTCTTGATGCGATCATGCAAGCAACCGACTGGTTCTTCGAACAGATTAGTGATGATTTAAGCACATACTCTGAACATGCTGGACGCAAAACCATTGATGAGAGTGATGTTTTAATGTTGATGAGAAGGTATTTATCTAAACATGACTAGAGTCTTGATACGTGCTGAGTGTTTTACAGACAACGCCAAACCAATGCTACAACAACGCCATTTTCACTTGCACAAAGTCGCTTGCCTAGAGAGCTCTTACAAGACGTAAGAATGGTTCCCCCCTTGATTTCGAAAGACCGGCCCCGACCAAAACCACCCATAAAATGAGGTAAAACACGCGCTATCCTCAAGACCATTCTTTATTTTGACGAACTCGTCGAGCGATGTCTGCAGATGGTTTCTTTACAACCATCCATAGCATAACTGACGTAGCAGCAGCCAAGGCGTACCTGTCAAATTATAGCGTTAGCACACATGGCTACAGGATGTATTTAACTTTTTCGCTAATCGTTAGAGGTACCTACCATGTAAATATGTACTGTGTGTGGTTGTTTCGGAGATTGACTTCTGCCGGTCTTCCTATTGGAATCCCACGTGCAGCGCGATCCCAAGCCATCAAGAGGTCAGGTTCTGTGGTTTTGTAAGCTTTGTGGCACTCGAAAAATAATGAAAATACCATCTTACCCATTGTCTCTTCAATCCAAACAGGTTGACTCCCTGTCAACTTAGCCATTTGCTCGACGTCAGGAAAGTAAAATTCCTGAGTCTGTGGACTATTATCTGGCGTGAAATAATTCTTCTTCCAAGGTTCCCGCAACAATCCCTCGACCGTTACCTCACCTTGAGGCAACCCATCAGGCCTACTTGTTTGCTTCTTAAATTTCTTTTCGATCCAACCCCGGTTTACAAGAACACTAGTGCCCTTACCATCTCGCTCCAAAGGAGTAATGACGAGATATCCGTCTTTCCCATCATGTAATCGAGGGCCAATCAGCATTTCTTGATCGTGTCTAAAGTGACCAGTCGCAAAAATTCTCCTATAGTCGAATTCTTTTATTGCCGAAGGATCAATGTGTGGGGGAAGTGGTAAAGGATCACGAACGAGGCGATCCTCAAATTTTGCAATGAGCTTTGATTTCCAATCCAAACGTTGCACTTGCCATGTCCCCAAGGCGAAAGCTGTTAGAGGAATCAAAGCTATTTATATCATGTATATTAGACAGTCTTCTAGGCAAGAAAAGTTGGGCAACTCGTGACTTACCTAGAATAATAAGACCAGGCCCATGCCTTCTTCCTGTGCGCACCAAGTTCGGGGGATTGTCTATAATAGATGTGAAATTGGGATCATCAGCAGCCTGTCTGGACTTGACGCGGGTTCCTGCGAAACATCGATGATTTCTTGGGCATTTTGGGGATTGGAAGGGAAAAGTTATCCTCCTAGTATGAGATGAAAACGTATTGATACGATTGTAAGATAGAGCTGAGACAGGGGAACGCATATTTAATACGATTGACGCATGAAGTGTACAAACAATGTCAATATGCTAGGTATCCCTTCGATGTTATTACTCTAGCAGATTCCACTAGGTAGCTATAAGTATAAGTACTATATTCTCTCCAGCTCTTTTATCGCAACATAAGGTATGTCGTGCACGTGCAAGACTATTTTTTGAAATTGTCTGATTACCTAGGAAGGCCGGGGTACTTGTTTGAGCGGTTGTCAGCCACACTCGCCACACAAGCCACCTGAACCTTTGTGATTGCATAGGTAATTTGAAGGGTATCAAATGCCTTCCTACTACCCAGTACCCAGAATCCACCTAGAACATCTATTTACTCTGTCACCACAACTCTTTCCATCAAGATATCATACCACATCATATCGTCTAGGATTGAAGCAATCATATCTACCCTCATAAACATCTTGAATACCAGGTGACATTTACACTGTTCCATTCACTCACAATCAAGGACACTACAGTAAAGAAATCAACTATTTGTACTTCCCCTCAACGATCCATTGACTTGCTCACGCCAGATAACCATACCTGTTTACATTTTTCGCCCTCATAGCTAGAGCCGGTCTTCATAATACGGTCTCCATATTGACGCTGGAAATCGATATACCTCCCCACTTCTGCAAAGTCATCCAAGAAATATATTGTTTAGCGATTTCGGTATATGACAGCGGCGGCAATGTTTTACACCGGTGGTATTAATAGCGGGATCAGCAAGGCTTTAGCGGAATCTAAACTTGTTGCATGTTTCGTAACGAGTAAATACCATTCCTCTCACGTTTTCACTCGATCGATGTAATGACCACGTGCCCAATAGATGGCAACGAAGAAAGCAGACTCTGGGAAGATGATTTCTTACGAGATTCCGAGGTAATTTGAGAATGGTGAACCCCTCTTGCTAGATGCTAAATCGCTGTCTAGTTAAGTTCTCACCTACAAGAAAGAACAGTTTTGCTGCGCCTCAGTGCTGGTTCTGAAGAAGCCAACTATCTCGCTGCAATCTTTCCTATCCCAAAAGCTCCAACTCTTGTTGCTATACGGTGAGCACGATTAACTCATTCTTTCATTCGGTATATCTTAATGCACACGGACGGGCAGATTTTATAAGTATGGGGCATAAATCAATCGTGCATTCTTAAGGATGGTGCTTTATCTCAAATGTTCAAGTGTAACAAAACGCGTCTTTCTGTTCATGTTGAAGTTGCATGGATTCGCGAATAGTCACGCTTTCCCCTTATACAGACATGCGTCTGCTTCTTCTGCTTCAATGCTATTTGGCCTTGCTATTTCTTCTACGGTTACCTGTAGGCAGTAAAAAAATGTGTTGGGAGTGCTGACCTTTGGGCCCACAGGAATGGAGAACTCAAAGAATATTTAAGTGCAGGCATAACCAAAGACGACTTTTTGACACGATTCAAGAAAGCCTTGGAATCTACGTCTAACCAGAGGAATGTCGAGAATGATCGCCCTATTTCACCAAATGGAACGCGAACCTTGGAGAATCCAGAACGACGTACCACCGAAGGCCAATCATCGGGTGTTCCACCCACTGGGAATCCGAACAACGGTTCTACGTCCGTTTTACAATCAATTCGTAATAATGCTACTGGCCAACCGAGCTCGAGCTCTCTTCCTAGAGACCCCAAAGGCAAACTACCTGAAGATTCAAAGGCCACTGCGGAAGATCACTTTGGAAACCCATCTCAAGCGGCGGAAACCGTTAGTTATGCTGCGATTCAAAAGAAGCGTCAGCAAGAGGCTAGAGAAGAGCGAGCGCGTATTCTTGCACTCATTGAGAGTGACAAAGCAAGAAGACGAAACGATGCAGGACGCAAGCCTAATCGTAGTAATCACTCCACAGAACAGCCAATGGCATCCAGCGACAGAGACACATCCACACTAAGCCCGGTGTCAAAGGCACAGGATTGTGCCCTTCAGATCAGACTCTTTGATGGATCTTCCATACGTTCCAGATTTTCTAGCACCAGTACCCTAAGTGGTGACGTGAGAAAGGTAATGTGAAGAAGTCCATTAAAGCACCAATGATATTTTCCTAGGGTATTGAAAAACTGGATCATCAACAACTTTTGTGTACCTGAAGACAATAAATGGCAATTCTGACGATGACTAGTGGATTGATAGTCAACAAAAGGATGACGTGCCTTATATATTCAAGCACGTTTGTACGCCTTTGCCAAACAAAACCCTCTCAATGACCGATGAGAGTCAACCCATAGCATCGTTAGGTCTGTTTCCAAGCGCTACGTGAGTAACATTTCACTTAGGCCCATACAGCCTTAGGCTGATCGATACTCTTGGACACTAATATGGAGGCAACAGACTTATCATTGTTCCGGTTCCAACATATACTTCGGCTTATGAAGCAACAGAATCAAGTGGCATTTTATCTAGAGGAATTGCTGCTGGATACGGCCTCGGCGCCTGGGGTGTCAATAGAGTATTGGCTACTCTTGGTGGCATTGTTGGTGGTTCGGCTGCTGCATCGGACACAGAACAGATGGCTGGACCTAGTGCATCAGTAGGAGGTGGCCGTGCGTCAAATCTAAGAATTCTTAGAGATCAGAATGATAATGACAACCATCATGAGTTGTACAACGGAAAATACGGTAAGTTTTGCCAATTTTACACTGCAAACACCATGCTGAAAATTGCAACAGCTTAACTTCGAGCCTCGGAGGGATGATAGTGACAGGGAAGATTGATCTGTGTGAGATACTCTACTGTTCATAACAGTCACGCACATTGGTCACAAAACACTCTGAGGCATGAGCCATCATGTTCTTCAATCTTCGACTTTACTATTGTGGCGTGAATTGTAACACGACACACATAGTTAGCTATTGGTTCGGCCTGTATTTGTAGATAGGGCACGTATGTCGTCAGTAATGAACGTTTCAAGTTGAGCTTTTCTAGCAGCATCGCCTCTTTGTTTTACATACTCATGAGCAACCATTACATTATGTTCACCGATAAGCATTGAAATCATTTAGTAGTACAGAACACGGCGTCAAGATATAAAGTTGTTATTGAGTATCCATTTATATGACTGATTACGGTCCAACGAGCATTAGCGGAAAGTTCCTCTTGTAATGTTGCCCAAATCAAATCGATGTATTCGCCAGTCGACTAATGGTGGAACGACTCATGGGCTGGCCATATCATGCTTGTATTCTTTCCTTAAGCCTCGGGGCTCATTCCAAATGGTCTCATCTCAAGCAAGCTTTGCGGCACCTTTCTTGTGTGGGCCGAACAGGCCAAGAAGATAGGCCGAACGTGTCAAGAACAAGAATACCTGCTACATGTTAGACATCGAATTCCACCGCATGAAAAGTACAGATTGAGAGTGGTCTTACCGTTACTCCTATATTTCCAAAAGTCATTGAATTCCATTGAGTGACATTTCCGACCCTTTCCCATCCCAAGACACGGTAGGTAACAAAAAAATGACCAATATCACCCAACCAACAAGCAAAGAGATAGTTCCTAACGACTTTCGACTCCTGCGTACCGCTAAGAATGGCGATTTCTACCATGGCCATCAGAAGATATACCATGGCTAGTTGTAGCGCAACAGCCCGTGCATTATCACTAATAGGTAGGTGACGCGAAATTACAACCTGCTCCTGAATAAACCACTCTGGGGAGATCATTGCAACTATAAAAGCAGCTAAACTATGTCCTAATCAGTATGTTGATATCAATATTGCAAATGTCAAATACAAACTTACAGTGAAATAGGTTCCAAGACTGTGAAGACAAACTTTGGGAAGAGTGGCAAGATCGAAGCCATGTTTATTGATTGCTGTGCAGCTATGGTGATGTATCAATGTTGAAATATTTTGTAGATAAAGTAGGACCGTGTCAGTACCTATGTTAAGATTATCCTTTCAGATGTAGTCGTATACCGAAGCTGCTCTGCACTTTTGCAGCTTGTGATGGTGAAGAGTATCCATTGAAGCGGGTTAAGTTTGAAGGTCTAGAAGTATTGTAGCTGTATAACAATTTAGTGAATATTTTGATTGAAGGAGGCTTAGTCGGTGCGATTGGAAGTAGAGGGAAGGGGTTATCTAAGCTCTATATGAATTCACTAAATAATACGAGATTTTGAATTATTCTTACTTGAACAGAATAGATAATTTTTTCATGATTATACTAATTAATATAAAGGAATCTTTTGATTTATACTCGTATAACATTATTAATATTAAAGACTTCTCTCTATACTTTTATATTAACGATAACTATATAGAGAATTTATTTTTTCTTTCTTTAATAGCTAAATATTCCTTAATGATAAGTTAAAAAGATAGTATAATCTAAAATCGTATATTGTAATGACTTTAATAAATAAGTGATTTGTTATAGTATCAACTTCAACAAAGTAGTATTGATTTTCATCCACTAGTAACGTGCGGGAAACTTTATTCTTAGTAATTATGTGTGATTGGTGAGGTCCATCATCTAGGACGAACTAGATTGAAAAGTCATTGAAACTTATTGATAAAGTTCACATCATACATACATCATATATCATTCATCTATCTATCAGCAATCTACTACTTTACCTACTTCCTTCCTCGTTTCATCCTTTCATTCTTTCATTCTTCTATTCTTGACTCTTGACTCTTGTTTCTGGGGCGATTTCTTTTGTGTTCTCTACATACCCATTCATCATCATACAAGAGAAAAATTACCAATTTTAACGTCTTCACAATATGTCGGATCCATGACAACATAATGCGTACAACTATTGAGCCCCATTTAATGTCTATTCTTAATAACGATGCATCTGAAGCCATCACAAACTCCCCCTCTTTAGAACTTCCTCCATTGCACGATCGAAACATTCTGCAAACTTCTCACCGACCGCTTATTTTAGAACACAATGCTGGAACACGATCTAGTGAGCCATCATCACAAGTATCGCAGCATTCCTCGTCCATTGCTCCACTTGACGACAATGAAGTCAATTATCGAGACTCAGAAGAGGGTTTGCGAATAGGGAATGCGGGTATAGGAAAGGACATTAGTGCAATTGAACGAACATTGGGTAGTTCTTCTCCGCAATCTCTGCGAAAGATTTTAGATGACAACACTGGCACCGCAAGACCACTACATCCCAAAAAGCAACAACATAGGGAAAATGGGAGTGATGAGTTTGTTCAATTGCCCTAGGACCACCCAAAAAGCAAAGATCAAATAAACAAGTGGTGCCACCTATCATCATCGGCTTACATGAACCGCCCCCTCAGGCTGCATTGTTCCCGCCTATTGCATCAAGCTCATTTCACGATAGTCATGGGAGAAATACCTTGAATGCTTTGGCTCCCAAAGTCACAGAAATGAGGGAGGATTTAAAACAGATGGTGTGATCGTAGCAACGACCCAGGAAGTCCTTGGGCCAGAAAGCCAGTACGAAGAAAAAGAGAAAAGACGTAAAGACGAGGAAAAAGTGGTCCGAAGACGAGACGAACAACCTGCTGCTTGGTGTCGATAAGTATGGCGTGGGGAGGTGGATGGATATATTAGAAGATCCCAAGTTCACTTTCAACAATAGGTCAGGAGTAGACCTGAAAGATCGCTTTAGAACTTGTTGTCCAGAAGAACTTAGAGCCGGAAGCCGCAATTCTGGAAACTATCATACTGGTACCAAGGCAGAGAGTGCAAAAGCACAGTCAAAAACAGAATTGGTAACTTTCGACCCATTGACCGGAAATTTCATGACTGGTGAAGATCAAGAGGCTGATGAGACTTGTCAACTCTGGCTCTAATCCTGGGCGAAAGCCTCGAAACCATCGGAGAAATCTTACATCCCTTCAAGAGCTAGGAATAAAGGCGCCATTCAAACAGTCAGATCGGAGGAAGAAACGACCCTTCTCCAACCAAGACGATCGTGAAATTAGGGAAGGTTATAATATTTATGGGCCTGCGTGGACAAGGATACAGAGAGATCCTCAATTCAACCTTCAGGACCGACAGCCTACTGATCTTAGAGACCGCCTCAGGAATAAGCATCCTGAACTGTTTAGATCCGGGGAGGACGACACTACTCGGACAGCATCACAGTCTCAGAGCAAGCCTACACAGGTTGAGGACCTGTCTAACACATCCAATCACGCCACAATCGATTCAACTACATTTGCTTTGAATCATGAGATATTAAAGGTAAAGTTACCATCCATCTTATTCCAATTTCCCACTTAACACTCTTCTATTAACACCAGATAGCCTACCGCAGAACCTACGGACAGCTTGTCATTCTCACAGTCTTTTGATTGGCCTCCGCCCCCATTCCCTTATATTGGAGAGATGGACATCTCTCGATTACTGGAAGACCAAAACCAATGGACGCCGTGACCGGTCAAGAGGCTTCATCAAAAGAAATGAAGAAATGAACGCGAATCCCAGCCACAATGACCGACCTGTAATCCTTTTAAGTAGGCCCACGAGTTTTCCATGGCTCATTATACTTGCCCATCCACTTCCACCCCGTGTGCATACGACTGCTGTTTTAGACAGTACGGACACCGAGAGACGAGTGTTGCATCGTGATTCCTCATTTCACAAAATGCCAAATTACAATAATAGATAACTTGTCTTCCCACTCCTTATAGACCATGATTTGAAAATGTCGCCCCGGAATGGTGCGGGCAGCAAGCGTAATTGGCATAGACCAGTCTATCAGCGGCTCCTCTATATTAGTATCACAAGTATCTACAACTTTAAAATATCGAGCTCACACTAACTTTACATGCACGATGGGGCACACGTTGTACAGTGATACTTTTGCAGCTTTCATGTGGTCTTATACGAATATTGAAGCACTTCTACAACTAGATACCATTGTGAATAGCTCCAAGTTTCAAAGATGGCAGGATTTATGATATTGGAAAATTCTGAAAGAAGTCTAATACATCGACACCCAACGACTCCTTACAGTATATCGCCCAACACTACAAACTGTGAATTCCCTCCTGAATATGCCCTAATCGTCATCGTCGTCTTCATCGTCATCAGCATTCGGCAAGAGACTGTTGAGATTTCGAATTCTTTCGTTGCGGCCTGAGTGGGCTGGGTAAAGGTGAGAATCATGTTCTAACTTCGCATTTACCCTTAATCCCATTTTAGGTTCGGCTTCATCGTCTTCAGCACCCTCATTCCAAGAATGGGTGGTGACGGTGCCCTGCTCAGTACCATAACCGTTCCACGCAGATGCTGAAATTTGTTAGCCGAAAAGAATTAGTATTGAAATAGGTGGACCTACCAGCGATCATGGGAGCAGTGGGATGCCAACTAGCATCTCTAACTACTGTTTTCCACCTCGGACTATTTACTTCATCTATATCGTCACGCCATCCTCCATGCCACCCCCCGTGCCATTGACCAGGTGGGGGCGGCCTTGTATTCTTCGTTGCCTGGAAAACATCGACTTTGCCCGCAAGCGTTGCGTCCATATTCCATATGTACACTTTCCCGTCTTCACTTCCAGAATAGACATATCTTGAATTAGTACTTCCAGGCGGAGAGAAATGACATCTAATCAGAGTCCGCATTACCCTATGGCCTCTGAATGTGACCAAAGAATTATCATTTTTATCGTGGTACCAATCATCTTCATCATAACGTCCCCATCGATAATCAAAGTTTGTTCCGGGGCGACGTTCATTTGCCCTGATGTTGGAAAATTGAGCCGAACTCATGACCATACGCAAGTCCCATAGCTTCATGCTCTGGTCCTTACCATTGCTGAGGATATAGCCTTAAAAGTTTTAGCGCACCATTCTTGAAAACCCACGAATGAAAAACTTACGACCGTCTCCTTTGCTATCGAGATACGTTAACCCCTCAATATGACCAATAAATGCACCCGCTTCTCGACTATCGCCCATACTCCTGGTATCCCACACCTTGATAGTTGTATCATCTGATCCAGAGTAAAGAATGTGAGGCGATGACTTGTCGGCAAAACATACTGCATTGACATCTTCATCATGCCCAAATATCCTATGAAGTGGACGACGACTTTCTATGTCATATACAACAATGGAACCGCCTGTGGTTCCAGCAACAAGCTCACGTCCGTCACCAGAAAATCGAATCGACCAAATACCAAATGACCCTCGCCGATCGAGCCTAGGATTTCGGAAACTAGTGGCAGGATCACCGAGCTCCAGATTATAGGGATCTCCCATATCATTTGGATCTGTCGGAGCGAGACAAACAGTGCTACGTATGGAGGTGTAAGCGAGATATTTGTTGTCAGGGCTCAGTGAAGCATCAGTAAGGGTCCCTAATGACTGTCAATACTCGAGTTACTCTACGGGCTCAACGGGAATTAACGAAGACGCGGATAGAACATGTGTTGGGACCGAAATAAGCCATAGTACGAAAAGATTGTACTTACATTGCCCATAAGGGTAGCTTACAGTCTTATAGTACCGCCACTTATAAGGGTTGGATGTATCATACATGCGGACTTTGAAATCCTTGGTGACGGCAAAGAAGAAGTTGCCGTCATCCGAAAATTGACCTGAATAAACGGGCTCATCGTAATTGATTATGGTATCGGCATTCGAAGATGGTAACATTTCCTGGGATTCTATTAGTTTACTGCCTAGAAATAAGCCTGCCTGTGTGTTGCTCACTTGTGCCATTGTTTTCCGATTTATCACCTGGGCTGCAAAGTTCCCTGATGCTATTTCTCGGTCTAATATTCTTCTTGCCAAACGCTTTCGGCCCCTAATATGATCATCTCTGCCTGGAGTTTGTGCATCATTGGATCCAAAATCACCCGACGCCATTAGTTCTTCCCCAACAATGCTTGGCACTTTAGGGAACCTATTTGGATCGGTTGTACTTCTCCTACGCCTTCGTGGCCACAAAGCGAGCTCGTCCTCGTCGAGGTCAGTGGTAAAGCGTATAATATTTCGAACATCTGGATGGGCGGCTAAGACCCGTAGAAGATATCTTGTTCGTGTAGCTAAATGGAATCGGAGTATAAGCCAGATGGTCTGGAGCAAGGTGAAGAATGTGTAGACCTCACTATGATCGACTGCGGTGGCACCTTCGTCTTCATCGTCCTCAATTTCAACTTGCACATCTGAAAGATGGGCGATATATGTCAGTACACCTTGACTAGGAGAGTTTCAAATGCAATGATAGTCTAGACTTACCAAAACCAACTTCATCGTCATCGTCATCTTCGTCATCATCATCAATCTCATCATCCTCATCCTGCTCGTCGGCATAATCATCATCTGCATTTTCTTCCTCTTCTTCGTCGTCTCTATCTTCTACTATAAGATTTGAATCATCCCCCTCTCCATTCCCGGCCAAGGAATTATCTGGCGGTAAGGCACCTGATGCGCTTCTCTGGGAAGCCATTGAGAATAGTAGAGCACGAGTAGATTGACACGCCTACTTTCCAATGCTTCTTCGGAGCAAAACAACAAACAAGAAATTTTCAGTAGTATTGTATGGGGTAGTGAACAACGTAGGTGGCAAAGAGAGAGAGGTAGGTATTCCACAACAATGCACTACTTGTTGCACTTCAAGTTCATTTTAGATGGATCTAGATTTCCTGGGAGTTGAATGACAGCGAGTGACGTTCATCACCCGTTAACTAGTATCAGTAACTGGTATAATGTTGTATGTATTAGAGATATATCAGAATTGAAGCTTGCTGCTCCAAATGTATTGGTAGAAGGGAAAGTGTAGTGATATCATGAGGTGAGGATGCTTTGTCAGTGGGGTGGAGTACGTGGAAGAGGGTCATTATTCTTATCAGTGCCTCGGAGTTTCTTATCACATGTACTTAAATCCATTTAAATCCGATGATGAAGACGTTTTTGAAATACATTCTCGAAATGAACTTAGCAGAATAATTTTGAGAATATATCCTCATGCTTTCATGTCATCTAGTACAACTGAATATCTGAGCTCGAGCTTAGGTATTCTCTGAATAATCGCACTCGACCATAACGAGTATAACGCCATACTATCGTCCAGTTTGTCTTTTCAATACATCTCGCGCTAGCAATAACTAGCTTAACTATGGACTTGATCTGCTCTCCTCGATTTTGGTATCGAGCATCCACCCCCTCCAGCATTGTCATCTACTTATTTACCTTTCTCTACCATTCAACATCTGTTTTATACCCCGAGTCACCATTGTCGCACTTCCTTACATTCTTACATCTTGTTGTTCATATCTTCTCAACCCACCCACCCTAAATAGCTTCTGACAAACTAGTAAACATTACTCCATCAAATGATGGATTACTGGTAGAGTAATGTGCCATCCCTGTACTGGACACACCCGTTGATAGTGACCCCCATTGTGCGCCTCTTCTGCTCATTCCCCTTTCATCTTTTGCAGCGCACCTTCAATCATCTCGTTAATGAGCTAAGCGTCAGAGATGAAGTTGGAAAGAGGCATTGTAAGTTTTCAGACTCCAAGCTAACACTATACTTTGGCTTCATGGTAAATAGAGTATCGATAATTCATATCTATTGCCAGCTTATCCACTCATGGTAAGGCATTTCCTGATACATTCATACCTACTTGGGTTTGAAATGGTTTTCCAATCCGAACGCATCGCCAGTGATTTAAATCCATCATGATTCCGGGATGATGTAAAGCATCACTCCGACGCTATTCCAACTTTTATCCAACGTGTTCACAAGGAAAAAAGGCTACAACATTACAGTGGCTGTTTTGTACAATGTGCCGGATTTTATTTAATATAGTCCCATTCAACTTTGGAAATGCAGGACCATTTGTTCCAGGCGCAAGCAATGCCAGGAACAGTAACTGCCACCAAGGCCAAATATAATACATCCTTAGATTTTGTGAGAAACTCCATCCATTTATACGCCAACAGCTCGTCCATCTCGCCCTCGTTCGGTGCAGGTTCAATGCCCCCCTTTCCCACGAACGACCAAGTCACCGTAGTGCAGAAATCATCGTCCGTTGCCCATCCCCAAACTATGCGCCACCGACCAATATGTTGTTGAGTGGTATATGGATCAATTTTACGATGTATCCAACGGCTCCCATAATAAGAAATCCCATCGCTACAGCTCGAGCGATGTTGAGGAATTCGCGACGATCAGCTATAATATGTTAGAATCTCACGTCCCGTTGTAACCAATGGAAAATACTGATTCTTACGCTTTGTGCATTTGTTGACAAATTGAGTACCATCTTTGATGAAATCTCTTGGAATTTCCATAAACTCTTGAATTTGGTCTGCCATGGTTGTGAAGAGGTTGAGGAGTTGAGGGTGGGATTGAGGAAGTAGACAATTGATCCTCGAGAGTTTCGAATTATACTTTTGTTGAAGGACTAATTTGTGGCCGACGTTTCAATGTTGGATACCTTGAAAGTGAATGGTATGTATGATTGACCAGAGATTTTGAATTCCGTTGCGAGTGAAGCCAATAGATATTAGGTAGCTGGGGAAATTTCGAAGAAGCCAGATAAGGTAGGTAGGCTCAAGAAATTAAAGCATGTGAATTGATCCAATGAGAACCTTCAAAATCCGAAAGCTACTGGGTAGGAGTAGCTGGAGGCATGAGGCTGCGAGTGTCATGCCTCAGGCATCAATGATATTGATTACTTAATGATTACCTAAGACCATCGGCCATGGGCAGGAACAGTGGTTTAGTTAGCACCAGCACCAGCACCAGCACCTTGCCTGGCTCCTGGTACCAAATTAGCACTGGGCATTAAAAGGTATTTGAAGCTCAGCGGCGCGCGAAATCCAACCGTAGAGGAGAAGAAAGAAAGAATCAAAGAAAGAATTCCAACTTTCCCTTCCCTCAACTCTCTATTGTCGTCGCTATTGTCATCGTCATCGACAACGACGTATAAGTGCCCAAACTTCCTTTCTTCTTTATTTTCCATGCCCTTTCTCAATCGGTGATCTTTACGTCCTCAAATACCCACCTCGTATCTCCATTATCGATCCCTCGAGCTACTAGGATTTCAGCTCATCGCGATACCGCGCCTAACATTGGAATATTGTAACTTTCTTTCCATATAATTCGATAATACAGCAATAGATACTTCCTGCCTCCAGAATCGATTTTCATTTCATGGTGAACACAAGTACCACCCACACACTCGACTCGACTTACAGTTGTCAAGCACTATACTCGTACCTCAGAGTCCCAACGAGAGATATCAATTGCGAACCTTCACGTCGACTCGAGAATTCTGTCGCATTCAATCAATCACCCACCGCTCAACTCAACACACCCAATCCAAACAAGCAAATCAGTAAACACTGGACGTGAAGGGTACTTGAGGGACGGAATTGTACAGCAAGGCTTCGGTTACTCTGTGCTTCTGCTATTGATGAACAAGGCATTTGGACAACTGACATCTTCATTTCTGCTTTTCAATTTCAGGCTGGATTACACTTTTCTTGCCTCGCCTCTTTCTTCCAATATTTCGGCATAGGAGGTTTATTCATCTGTTGGGCTTCTTTACATCACAAATTCAAAGAGACTGCAAGCACAGAGCTTCGTCTTATATCTCCATTCTGTCTGTAGTTGCCAAAGAAGGCTCTCGGACTTTGACCTCATTTATTGAAGCAATATCCTCCAGGTTTTAGGAGTGTACGTATTCATTGAATTCTATCCCATGTATTTCAGACTCTGCTTCCAATGCTATACATGCGTTGACCTCTGCCATCCAATGGCCCTTCTTCTGTTTTCACCCGCTGATCCTGTTTCTATTTTCTCACAGAATCCATTTTCCTGTGGCATAACATCAACTCAAACTGTTCATAAGCAATACAAAACATCATTTTCCAACCAAAACTCACACTTCACTTGAAAGTCAAGGTACCTCGTGTGCACATTCAGACGCCATGGCTGATGACGAGTTCGACATTGATATCTATGGAGATACAAACACTGAACAGGACACAATCTTCAAGAAAGATGATGAAGGTGATGTCAAGATTGACGGCGTTGAACCTTCAGTCGCACCAGCTGCCGAAACTAATGGTAAACACGAAGAACAAGATGACGATTATGTAGATATCAAGGTTAGTCATGAGAAGGATGAACTCGCTGAAGGTCAACAAAAGATAAAGAGTACCGACGAATCTGGACGAGATATTCTCAACATACCCAAGCAGGCCCCTCAGCAACAAGGTGTAAAGAGAAAGGAAGGCTCCGACGATCGCCCAATCGATCAAGGTGCGACTACGGCCTTGCTCATATCAGAATTACATTGGTGGAATACCGACGATGATATCCGGGGATGGATCAATCAGGCTCAAGTCGAAGATGAGCTGAAGGAGATGACTTTCTCCGAGCACAAGGTTAATGGAAAGAGCAAGGGGTAACTCGCTACACACAGTATCTTCCAATGCCGAGCATCTACTGACTCTCTGCACAGACAAGCCTATGTGGAATTTACGTCCCAACAAGCTGCAACGGCAGTGAAACGAAAGATTGACGCTTTCGGTGAAGGTCACCAATATGTGAAGAAGCAGACAGTTACATTCCACAATCCAAATATCAATCCATTCCGCACCTTACCTAAAGACGCGCCAGCCCGCGCCACGAAAGAAGGCCAAAATAGTCGATCAAGCTCAGGACCAGGAGGTTACAACAGTGAGAGGGGCAGTCATACTTCAGGCAACTTTGGTGGTAATTTCCGCGGTCGTGGCGGTGGATACAACTCTTCTCGTGGAGGTATGAACAACAACATGAATCAAGGCAATTTCAACCGTAACTTTTCAGGCTCAGGAGGATCCATGGGCGGGGGCTTTAATTCTTCAATGGGTGGCGGGTTTCAAGGAAATCCCATGGGAAATCAATTTGGTGGATTCAATCGTGGAGGCATGATGGGCGGCATGCGGGGTGGCCCTGGAGGTATGAGAGGCGGCCGAGGGGGAATGGGAAATAACATGATGGGAGGCATGCCCATGGGAGGTATGCCAATGGGTGGAATGGGCGGAATGGGAATGCCTATGAACATGGGTAATATGGCACAAATGGGTGGTGCAATGCAAGGTACGTCGAAACAACTACTTATCAGCTGAAATCAAACACCACATAGGGACTACGGGATTTATCACTGACTCGAGAAATTAGGCGGGAATGGTTTCCAACCTATGCAACCGCACTTTAATCCTGCGTTCTTTCAACAAAATCAAAGTGCTGGTGGTGACTGGCAGAATCCACACGGCGCCAAAAGACCAAGACCAGAATGAGGTATAGATAACGGAAAGGGCGTTGAACTCGGGGATCTGGCATAATTAACACTTGGAATAATGAGCACTTTCAGTTCTTAACTTGTATTTCAAAATAAAACATGTACCATAGAAGTGTGATTCACACGATGAATGTATTTTGAGCTGTCAGATGATTGCTTTTTACTAAGTCTCAACTTTCTGTATAGTTGCACTGACCCCTTTGACCCATCTCGCACGATGCTTCGAGTGTCAGTGATACTCGCTCTTCCAAGACGACTAAAGTTTATTGCAAGACGCAAGATGGCGCATTGATTGAATGAACGTCAATAGAACAGCCAGAGCCTCATGCCATGATTCGGTGGGTCTGAGGGGGCTTCTCGGAAGTCCATCATACAACGCAGAGTTAAAATTCATGAAGTTTAGCTTCCTATTCGATTTAACGCTCTATTTAACAACAGAACAATTTGGTTCGAGCGTCTGGTCAACGTATTTCTTTGACTTTCAAGTCCTGCCTGGCTTTCGTCTATTTTTTTGATCATTTCCATCATCTCCATCTTACCAGCCATTAGTACTTTCAATAAAACTTTATCCGCAGCCTCCTGAGACACCTCTTCGCCCTCAGATCCCTGTACGAACCTTTTCCATCTACCTATCGGTAGACATATAATCCTGAGGACTACTTGCGTGCGATAACATATGGTGTCTCGATCTAGGAGGTATTTACCGAGAAATCCCATCTCTTCGAGGTGCTCTTTTTGCTCTCCGTTTAGCAATGGTGTTATCCAGGGATCCAGAGTTACCTCGTCCCATCGGTTGTCCTCGAGTATGAAGCCATACTCGACGAGAAGGAAATCGTTGTTGTGACTTCCGTATGAAATGTGCACTTCGGAGCCCTGCTTGATGGGTTGCGAGGCCGTGACTAGATTGTTGGGGGTTAGCGATGGCTATGTTTCTGCGGAATGAGTTTGGGCGAAGACTTCATGGAGAGGTGTAGTTGTTGCACAGATCATATTATGGAGGTTAGGGTGACGATCTAGGTAGATTGAGTGATATAACAGTAGAAGAATAATATTGCTCACGTGTGTAGCCAGCGCGACTGAGAGCCGCAGCAACCGTGGGTTCTGAACTATGATTTATGTAGTCTGCGAAGGGATTCAATGCAAGACGATTCTCTTTTGGTGGTTGTGGTCTAGAAGATTTGATAGTCGGTGAAAGGTAGTAGAACGTCCTACTGTTGACAATACTGTAGTTGTACATGAATTTATCGTAGGTTATGGGTGGTTCGGGAAATGCTTTGCAGATGATCGTCCAAGCAGAAGTAATTTTCTCCATTTGCGTCTTAAGAAGAGCTCGGGCCGAGTACGGAAGAAGCTCTTGTAATGAGGGATCCCAGAATAAAGGCATAGAACTATGCATATCCTGTTGGGAAGGGAGGGTAACTTTCCATTCCGGCCCGAGCAGCGAGTCCAGAGATAGAGCGAAAAGAGCATGAACAGCTAGTTCAGGTGCCAGCGCTGCAAATTGAGAAGGTACATCCGTAGCTTTACGAAGTATCTTTATGGGGACCTGCACCAGAGTGTCACCTATCTACTACAGATTAGCAAGCACATGACTTTTCGAGAGGGGTGATATTCCATCTAGCAGCTCAACTATTTTACCTCAAAATTCTTGTTCGCTATCAGTCCCAGACCCTTTTCTGGAAACCGGAAAGGCGAAACATTGTTGATAATGACACCTTGATTTACAGCCCATTTTGTGAACTCTTGATGTACTTGCATGTCCATGCTCGCACCGTAGTTAGACGAAGGGGCTGCTCGCTGCAGAATATCTGAAATCGTGATGTATGACTGATCCGCTGTGCTGATGATTTCCACGAGCTTCACCTAGAACTACTAGATATAAGCATTTGATAACAGAGCATTCGTATTTTGAGATCAATTATTCAGTGTAAATTCTCATCTATCATATGCTGTGCGCAAGTAATTTGTAGCATTAAAGTCTTCCAACCTTCTTCTAGTGCTGCTTTTGCCGAGAGCTATTTCGACGAAAGGGCGGCAGACAATATAATTGAAGCTGATCTACAGTAGCATCCCACTCCGTCGACATAGGAGGGGTCAATTCAAAGTTATAATCCGAACATGTCATTGTCTCCTCGTCTATATACCCAGGTGTCCCGCCTTCCCAGGGAATTACTTTCCGCCTGCTCTATTACTTTAGCTACAAGAAGTTTCAGTGTATTGCATCGTCCCGCTCCAAATTATCCAGGCCATGTACCACTTACTTCCATTGAGCGGGGCGGTTTGGCTGTGGGCTCAGCAGTAATGGCATTCTTTAATCCCTATCGTGCAGGTATGAATTGATCATCTAAAACCACATTTACTCTCAACTAATCCGGGGAACTAGATTTAATTGCAGCCTGTGGAGAAGCTACCGCAACACCATATTTTATATACCGTCTTCGCGATGCTATGCTTTCTTCTCCTACCGGTCGACGTATACTTCGCGATCGCCCTAGGATATCTTCCAAGACTCTTTCTATGCCACGTCTCCGGGCGCTTCCCCCAAACACTGTAGGCAGGTGCTACGCAGAATGGTTGGACCGTGAGGGAGTTTCCCCCGATACACGCGATTCAGTAAAATATATTGATGATGAAGAATGCGCATATGTTATGCAAAGGTATCGCGAATGTCACGACTTCTATCATGCTATAACGGGTTTACCTATTGTGCGGGAAGGCGAAGTGGCGCTCAAGGCATTTGAGTTTGCTAATACTCTGTTACCAATGACGGGTCTGAGTATGTTTGCTGTGATGTCATTGAAGCCAGCAGAGAGGAGGAGATTCTTTACAATATATGCGCCTTGGGCGTTTGCAAATGGGTTGAAAGCAGAGGAAGTTATTAATGTTTATTGGGAGGAGCAGTTGGAAAGGAGCGTGGAAGAATTGAGAGAAGAGTTAGGCATTGAAAAGCCTCTTGATCTTAGAGATATCAGACGGACGGAGAAGGAGAGAAAGAAGGCCCAAAAGGCGACTTGAGGAGGACTTGATAGCACAGTAATTTGATACCATAGCAGTAGATTTCCTAAAATTTCGCAATATTAACTCCTTTTCCTCGGAGACTAAAGATTATCCTAGCATTATGGATTCCATTCCTGAAATATCTGCTCACTAAATGTTCCCTGATTTCCGAACCAGAGACTACAAGTCGAAAAGATCATCATCGTCGTCATCCCAAGCACCCTTCCTCCTGGTAACCACAATCTTTTCTTTAGTTTCCTGAGCCTCCGACACACTGCTCAACAAATCCTTCAATTGTTCCTCCGTAATCTTCGATCTCAACTGTCCCGAGCGCGCCAACATAATCAAGCGATTTTCAACATCGACGGCTCTGGACTCCTTCACAAGTCTAATGCGACCTAGACGATCTGCCGCTTCGGGTTCGAGAATTTGGGTCAGGATGGATTGTCGAGCCGCTTCTTCTTGCTGTCTATGGCGCAAAGGGTTAGTTGTTTATATACATCTTCGATAAAGTAAAGCGCACTGTCTGCCGTCTTCTTGTCCTCCACTGCCGCCTGCTGCGCCTGGTCTACCTCCTCCTCCGCCTTGGGTTTTCAATTGCTCAAGACGAGCTTTTCTGATCTAAAGAATAATTAGTATTAGGTCATGACTAAGTCTTCTCAGAGACTTACTTGTGCCAAATCGTCGTCTTCCATAATTAAGGTGTTGAGTGTGTGTAATTTTTGTTCCGGTCGAAGAAAATGAGGGGTGTTGTAACTTTGCGATGCCAGCCTTGTGGTACCCAGTCTTTAACGAATACCATAATTGGCAACCCCTCTTTGGGCAAAACTACATCATACCACAACCGTGAATTATAACTTTTCAACCCCACGATAAATTGATTGATAGTTACTTTTCATTCAGATATAAATTCAGTTTAATTGTAACATTATCATAACCAAGAAATTAAGATCAATCTCAAGGAGTTGGAAAGCATTTCGGATAAGAGCTCACTGAGGCCTTGAGTTTGGATTCAAAAACACTTGATAGTGGCTCACTGGGTGCAAAGTAACATGCCATTGGGCTTGTTGCTAAATTTCACAAGTCTTGAAGTCTCTTGTCGACTGACCACAGAAAGATAAAGCAGCGCATTGATGATTGAGTTTGCAAGAGAGGCATATGTGCATTATTCATTGATCTATAATCTAAAGTGTCGCTTTTGCGAGTGACCGAGTATATAAGATATCTAAGACGTAATATACAGGTGTTGCTAATTCTAACATAAACGTACAATCCTACATGATAAAACATACCCAGTTCGTTCGCTCACAAACCCAGCGTACCTTTACATTCCATCTATCTCCGATCAACCGCGGGAATATATGAATTCATCTCCCTCGACTTCATAGCCTGTTTTGCTTTAACCATACTTATGACTAACTCGTTTGAAGAGAATGGAATGTTCAATTCTTTTGCTCTCCGAGCGAGATAGCCATTGTAGAAGTCAACATCCGTTTTCATTCCACTTCTGACGTTGTGTAACATAGATGTAACGTTTTTCCCGCTACGAGCAAGCACCGAGTGTATCATGCTCATTAACCTGCGGTTGCCAAAACGTTTGTTAAGATTTGCCACCGTCGCAAGCTCCGGAAGACTTCTCACAACATACGAAATTTCCCACAAGAGGGACTTCATTGTCTGACTCGCTTGGTAATTGTACAACAGCTGGTCGTTTGAACAATCAAAAATGACAGATAACGGCCCAATGACGGAATTGACAACGATGTATTCGAGATGAAATTTCATGAAGTCAGGATAGTTCAGGCCTATGGCTTTAAGATCAGGAGAACGACTTAATGACATTAACATGTATCTTGAAGATGGTGCCCAGTTATTTGTGAGCTTCCTGTCTGAGCTTTGGGACAATGGTTCGTTGGAGGGCGCGCTGTTGTCATATTGAGGAATTGTAAGCTTCAGCTCTCCCTGGGTGGTTTGGGCCACAGTCCATAGCTGATCCGTGGCAAATAATCCATGAGATAAATTACCAAGCATGTAATGAGGACGATCCTGCAAATCTGGGAAAACATGCTTGTTAACATCCTCGATGACACCTGCTCCATGTTGCACAAAACAGATGGTTGAATGAGGCTGGAGGCGATGCTTGATGGATGTGAGTGCCGCCACTGTTCTGTCGCCGTTCGTTGTGATGATCAGGTTGTCTATGACCTCGTTCGTGTATCCTAATCTATGCTCAGTGGCACCAGTCTCTGACTCGGGCCCAGGAATATTGAAACTTGCGGATAATTCAACATCGAAACCGGATTGCTCGGTTATGATTTCATCCTTGCATACTCTGAGAACTTGACGCGAGTGGTGCCATTGTTGAATCAACAGTGGCCGGTGCATCAGTAAAGTGACAGGCGGCGGAGAATCCATTTCAGCAAGGTTATACGCAATGAATTGTCCAATAGGCCCTGTTCCTAGAACGTGGATTGTGCGTGATATAGGCGTACCCCCTCGGTGTGTTGAATCTTGTGATGTCGGTTTGTGCTGAAGATCAGCGACTTGTTTTGACTGTAAAGGTTCTTGGCCATGCTTGTGAGAAGACATTGAAGGTGACTTTTGGGCGGCATATTTTACATTCGTAACTAGGACGTCCGGGGAATGCAAATATTCAGGCCCAATGTCGGAGGTATCAACATTCTCAAGCTCTTCTAAGTCATCGTTACCCTGCAGCTCTTCAGCCGACAAGCTCTTGTTTGCCTCCCATTTCGAAGGTCGATGCGGGTAGGCGAAATCGAACGGTGATGGATCGTTCCCTTCTTCGCTGTCAAGTTCCAATTCCCGCTCGTCTTGTGTCCCTATATCCAGAGCATAAGCATGATCGCTGGGCGTAATTCTTTTGTGCCTGTCCTCTTGATTGGTGATATCTTTGTCTGCTGTCCCTTCGCTCGCATAAACTCCATCGCTTTTGCTCCCGTAACTCCTAGAAGGTCCGCTGGTAGTGGTATCTCTCTCTGAACCCCAAACGAATGACAAGCTGGCGTGCAATCCTCCTTTCCGCCTCGGCCACCAGTATGTCTCGTCATGTCTCGACCAAGTGCGAGTGGCCACCCGGCCCAGGGTAATGCTACCTGAGAGCCATCGACAATTTTGAGGGTTTCGAGCAAGCACCCGCCACAGCGGACGACCGCACCTTGGAAAAGACAGGATGAACACTCTCAATGGTTATTACAATGAACTCATGGCAGACAAGCAGAATCAAGATGTCTACTCTTTCGTTGCTGCAATTGTCTGCACTCGAAACCAAAGCAAGAAAAGGAAGCCTTCACGTCCTTCTACACATCCGCAAAAGGGTAAGAAGGTAATTTGTAGTGGACAACGATGGAGAGTAGAATTTGTCGAGTTTCAGTAAAATGAGGCGAAATGTATGTTGAAGTTCCGTTCGGTGAGGGGTGAAGCTAGCTTGAGATATATCTGAGATTTCGGCTTAGTACAAAACAAGACTGAAGTCTAAGTACATAGAATGTGTAGACTTCGAACATGGACGGGATACAAAGTAACAGTAAGTGAGTGTTCAAATGGGAGGCAAAAGTTGAGTCGTATAGATGTGATGAGAGAGATTCCAGTACTAAATATCAATTTACAATCAAATATTCGGAATCGAAAAAAATGTCGATGAAGCGCACTTTAGCAGAGAATATTTATTGAAAATCCCTGTCAAGCAAGCATGTAATCCAATTGGAAGACTTCAATTCCAATGCAACTGAATGCGGCCGCTTTTTTCCGATAGCGTCGGAACCCATTCCCAAACTTTCTCACAAAGAATGGTGGAAAGTTGAAAATCCAAGGACGAAAGTTACGAATACGAATGAATGAATGAATTGATACTCTACATCAACCACAATCCAATCCAAAACACAAATAACTTACAACAAGCAAAATTCAATCGTATCTACCACCCAGGTTCCTCTCGATCGCGCATGTTACATCAATCATATTCGCTACCACATATTCAACTAAATCTCGACAATGGATCCCACCAAGATTCTTTCTTTGCTCGAGCAACTCGATGACGATATCGATGATATTGAAGATGCGGTTGCACCTTTCATTCAAAAGACTATCCCAGAATTTGCAAGCAAGTTACCTTTGTTGGACAAGGCGAAGCTTTACACTCTTGTCACATATGCCATTGAGTCCATATTATTCTGTACGAGTTTCCATCACTTTACTTCTGTCGCATTTCGTACTTTTATACTAATTCGTCTCGACAGCATACCTTCGACTTAATGGTGTCAATGCCCGTGAACATCCTGTTTTTACCGAGCTTACTCGGATGAAGCAGTATTTTGAGAAGATCAAGGTTACAGAGAATCCACCGGCAACTGCAGCAGAAAGAAATCTCAAATTGGATAAAGGAGCTGCTGGAAGATTCATCAAAGCAGGACTGGTAAGGAAGCTTCTACTCTTTTTCAATTGTTGGGGTTGAGAGCCCATGTTAACAGTGCGTACAGAGCGGAAATGATAAATATGATCTTCAAAGAGCAGAGCAGTTGGCAAAGGAGAGAGCGAAGTCTCACATCAGATTTGAGGAGCTATCAAAGAAGAGAAAGGTGGGCGAAGAAACAGCAGAACCCAATAAAGCAGAATCCAAAACCTCGAATGAATCTGATGGTTCCGGTTCACCTTCCGATTCCTCAGATGAACCTGCAGCTGCAGCACACAAAAGCAAAAAGTCTAAGACTGCGAAGGCAGCAGCCACCCCTATCGAGTCTAAAGAGGATAGCTCTTCCACCTCCAATTCTAAATCTAAAAAATCCAAGCAAGAAACTCAGGAGAAGAAAACAAGGAGTAAATCCAAGAAGGCCAAGAGCAAGAGCAAGAACTAGAAATATGTGGTGAATGGGATATGTATATGGCTATGTATATGGATATGAAAGTCACCGGATGCATTCACATCTAAAAGGGCGTTTATGGAACTGGCTTAGGGATGATACCATGATTTGTCACGGCAAAATAGGATAGCTTTAGGGTTTGAGTTATTGGGCAATAAGTATCTAGATTTACGAAAGAAAGAAATAATAAATACCTACTGACTACTAGGTATTCTTCTCTCAAGATTCTGTTCATCAGAAAATAAATGCTGTCTATCTGTTTTGAACATCCTCTTCACGGTTGTTGGAGTTCACTATGTACTTAAATAATTGTACTCGAGAAATCTCATAAAGTGCCATCTCGAATCATCCATTGCATATCACCAGTACAGGTACATTAAGGCTGAACTAACCCAATCGGTATTAGCTCGTGGGAAACGGATTATATTCCGGGATTAAATTGTCAAGTATCTCATTGGCCGGCATTCAACAACTTCAACAATTCTCTAAGCAAAATCGTATACTCACACCTAAAACCCGAATCTATTTCTCCCACTTCATCAAGTAAATATGCCTCGTCAAGGAAGATCTGGAAGGGGAAGCGCCCCATCTCGACCAACTGTCTCAGCCCCAAGCAGACCTTCACCTTCCGCCCAGCAAACCCGACCAGCAACCACTGCTGCATACCCACCAAGGCCAGCAGGTGCAGCTCCCCCAGCTGCTCCTCAACCACAAGCAGGAGCTCCACAAGCTCAAGGTTCTTCTGGTCCAGGTTTGATTGGACAAGTGGCTAGCACTGCAGCGTGAGTGTTCATTGCGCCAGATATCAATTTCAAAGTTGTATACTGATCTCTTTCGTGCAGAGGTGTCGCCATCGGATCTTCATTAGGACATGCTATTACCGGTTTCTTCGGCGGTGGATCTAGCGCACCCGAAGCAGCTCAGGATAATGCTGTAGCATCCCAAGGTCAAGAGAAGAACCAATTTGGCGAACCAAACTGTGGCTTCCAGGTCAAGAGCTTTACCAACTGCATGGACGAGAACCAAGGAAACATGTCTATCTGCAACTGGTATTTGGAGCAATTGGTATGGACGAACCTATAATCTTTCGGACCCCAAGTCAAGCTAACAGTTTTCTCACAGAAAGCATGCCAGAATACCGCCAGTCAGTATTAAGGGCCCGAATCTGACGATTACGACACATGGAGATGGATGTATAATAGAAAAACTAGCTACAACTCAAAATAATGAACCCACTCTACCCTGATGATTTGTCGACATGTATATGAATGGCAAAGACTAGTCTTGAGCAGCACACCCAGAGCGACATGTCTTGCTAATTGCTTTCTTGTATGTATTATTCGAAGACTCCTCAACTTCGGATCTGAGTATCAAATCAGTGTTTCCATAACGTGACTCGATTTGATTCCATTTCCAAGAGAACTTGTATGTGGCAAAATCTTGTTATATTTACATGAAGAAATATTTTCAGCCTTGCATGCCCGACGTCGGCACCCCACAGAAAAAATAGTCCAGCCTTACTCTCCACCCCCACTATGATTTCCATCACAATGGAAACAGTCATAACCTATAAACCCTTTAAAGTATTATATCTTCCATAGATTCGCTTTTCTTGACCATCGCAATACATATCAATATTTAAATCTTCACTGCCAGATCGAATTGCACATCATGACCACTCAATTCCCAACCAAGCGTTGTGGTTAGTTAACTCAAACATACCCCTCCTCACAACTCTCACCACTCTTCATATATCTTCATTACCTGCCTTCCCATTCCAGCTTCCCGCATGACATGCGCTGATTAATCCAATCTAGGTGTACTCGGATGCACCGGTTCCGTCGGCCAAAGATTCATTCTTCTTCTTGCTCAACATCCATATTTCAAACTCCACGCCGTAGGAGCCTCTTCGCGATCCGCAGGAAAGAAGTACAAAGATGCTGTCAAATGGAAACAAGCTTTTCCCATGACCGCCGAGATTGGCGATTTAGTCGTTAAAGAATGCAAAGCAAGCGAGTTCGCGGATTGTGACATTGTGTTCAGTGGATTGGATGCTGATGTTGCTGGTGACATTGGTATGAGACCCTCAAATACAGTTACCCTTCCTTGCTTTTTGGGAAATCCCCATTGTGAGACGGCAGAGTCTTTAAGGGCAATACTTACTTGAACTATTAATCTAGAGATGGAATTCATGAAGGCTGAATTGGCCGTATTCTCCAATGCCAAGAACTACCGTCGCGATCCAATCGTTCCCCTCATCGTCCCTACAGTTAACCTCCCCCATTTCGATCTCATTCCTCACCAACGTCGCGCCCATTCCTTAAAGAAGGGTTTCCTCGTCTGCAACTCCAACTGTGCAGTCATCGGCATAGTTATCCCATTCGCCGCCATCCAAAAAGCTTTCGGAGAAGTCGACCAAGTGAGCGTGGTCACCATGCAAGCTGTTAGTGGTGCCGGTTATCCAGGTGTAAGTAGTATGGATATTCTCGACAATGTTGTCCCATTCATCTCTGGCGAGGAAGACAAGTTAGAGACGGAGGCACAGAAGATTCTCGGAAGAGTCAATTCTGAAGTCACTGGATTTGAGGATCAATCAGAATTGAAGATTTCAGCTGCTTGCAACAGAGTCGCAGTTCTAGATGGACATATGGCTTGCGTGTCTCTTCGTTTCAAGAACCGCGATGGACCTAAACCTACCGCGGAAGAGGTAAAGAAGGCTATGAGGGAATATGTAAGTGAGGCGCAGACATTGGGATGTCCGTCAGCACCAGAGCCAGCGATTGCTGTTATGGAGGAAGCAGATAGACCACAACCAAGATTGGATCGCAATACACAAAATGGATACACTGTCAGTGTTGGAAGAGTCAGAGAAGATGATAGCGGAATTTTCGATCTCAAATTCGTGGCCTTGAGTCATAACAGTAAGTTTTCCTCCCCTTTCCAATTTTACAATGCCCAAGTGCTAACACCATATTTAGCCGTCATTGGAGCTGCTGGTTCTTCGATATTGAATGCAGAAGCTGCAGTTCTTAAGGGCTATATCTAAGGATTAGTCATATACCCAGTTGTTTTGAAATTTAAAAGTTGCATTTACAAATTGCATAAGAAAGGCTCATGCAATTAAAATGATATTATACATTATCCCTTCATGTGGCGTGTATCTTTTACGAAATTTCGGAATATGTATGCAGTGACGTTAAACGTGCCAGTCCAATATCAAAGCAATGTCCATTCTGTCGATCATCCATTCATCCATTCTGCAAATGGTTTGTTAGTTCCTCGGCTATAAGGGAACCAAAAAAGGGGAAGGGTGCTAATCGCATAATATGCAGCCACATCAACTCACGAAAATAATTCACAAAGTTCAAATCGGCATTATCATTATACAGAGAGCAACGATGTTATATCATAATTTTCATTAATTCATTGATCGAAAGATTGAACACCAAATGGTCGCTCGCTAGTTTGCTATGCAATACCATGCAACTAGTTTTCAGATCCGCTCACCTAATTCCTCCCTAGCTAATAAAATTGAAACTCTCCTGGAGAAGAAAAAACCCATGCAACTGAGTCATCTATGCTGTTCCATCAATATCTCGAGGATTTTCTGGATCAAAGCTAAACTTTGCAGCACGGATTAGTGTAATTTCAACGTAGTGAAATGCACTTTTGGACACTCTTAAACTGGCAATAGGGAAAATAGAAGAAACAAAGGAAGAAAGGTAGAAAGTCAACGAAAATATCCATCAAGTAACGAGGTTTGAAATTCTTTCGAACGTTTGTAAGAGAGTTGATTAATCCACGAAAGCCGATAGTCTGTCGATCATAGACCGCTCGCGAACGACATTTTCTATGATCTCGACATGTTCTTCGGTCTCTTCATCATCAGAGAGGCTTAGATCAGACTTGGTTGTGGTGATAGGGGCTACTGGAGAGGAGCTCTGGACTGATGATGATGGCGTGAGGATTTCCTGGTTAATAGATTCTGTTGCATCGTCTAATTCTTCGTGCACTGTATTTGTTGATGCCTGGTTCTGACTTTGTAAGTTTTGGGGGAGTAAATCGTCTTGAAGCGTAGAAGTTTGATTCGTGTCTTTGGAAGAAGCTTCGACTGTAGTAGACTCTACTCCGTTTCTTGACATTGGTTGGGCAGAGGCTACAAAGTCTGGCAGAGAAGTATCAGACCTCGCGTCAGAGTCCCAAGGAAAGTCGTTGTCCGAGTTCTCTGGGAACACGTCAAGAATTTCACCACGGTGAACAATAAGACCATTTTCTTGCTTGACAAAGTCCTCGTCTTGCTTAGAGCGCTGCGGCTGACGATTCAGCGCGGTGACCTGAGGCTTCTCGATGCTAAAGGTAGAGAACCCTATTTTTTCGAAGTCATCTATGGCTTCAATACCAGTAGCAATTCTGCCCAATTCCTTCTCGAACAACCATGGGAAACTGATCAATGGCATTGATTCAGGTCTCATTCTTCGCTTTTGCAACTTTATTCCGTTAACCATTCTCGTTGAACGACATTCGGCCAATGCGATGTCGAGTTCTTCTTTTGTCACTTGGTACATGGCAGCAACAAATGGCCCGAGGATTGAAAAGTCTTTACCACCAGCTGCATTGATGCATACCGCGCGAAACCTATCTTTGAGTGCACCGGTGATCACTGCCATATCTTCCTGAAGTTTGTAGTCACTTCCGACCTTTGGCTTTGAAAGGATAAATGTTGACCACACTTCGAATTCAGTCTTGATGTCTTGTTGGGCTAGAATTCGTCGCACAGCGGTGTCATATTTGGTCTTCGTCTGACGGGCAGCCTTCAGAATGGCATTTTCTAGTTTGTAAGCCCTCAAAATACGTTTGTCAAAAGGTTCTTCGTACTGTGGTACGAAGTCAACGCTCTCAACCTTGTCGTACAGTTGACCAAGAATTTTCTGAGAATGATACTGTTTTGATGCAGGCTGATGGATCTTTTCCATGAAATGTGGCCATTTTGGAGGGGCTAGTGACTTTGGCATCGTAGCCGGTTGACCAGTCTTAACGTAGTCAACGGCCTTGGAATGTAGTGCTGCGAGCTCGAGACCTGAATTTGACGTTAGGATCAAAATAACATGACAAAATCGGGATCGTAATCAAAATACTTACATTTGGGGTCCTTGATACCTTGCTTCTGATAATCAGCTTGTGCCAGATGAGCATGGGCTATGCTCGGCAAAGAGTCGTTCTTCATGTATTTTACAAAAAATTTCTGTAAATCTGTGACAACAACAGGCCGTTTAAGCGTTATAGGATCTAAGGCGGCGTAGCTCATTGGTTCACAGTTCCATTCGGTTGGTTGAAGATCTTTATCCCATATGACAAAAAAATCATCACCATCTAAATCGCCACCAGAACACATGCTAGGCACATCTCTTTCGCCGCTTTGAGGAAACACAACGACGTCCCGCAAGTGATGCAAACCTGGTACGTTTACGGCTTGGACAACCCTCAGATCACCAGGATGAAGAGATGGATTTCGTCCGACGAGGCAAATGCCCTCAATGACATTGTATTGCGTGGTGTTCTCCCTATCAGGCACTTGGATAAAAATCTGAGGTAAGTCGGTTTCTTTGTAAGTCGTACCGCATGCCACTGTTGGCTTGGTATAGCCCCTGAGGGTGTTTGTTTCATCAACACACCCAAGCACGAAAGCTCCATTCTCTACTATAATCTTTGCCTTCTCCTTTAGGAGTTTGATCGACCATGCTCTCCACAGATGGAGCAAAGACAGAACAAACGGCTCTTTTTCTGACATGAAACCATTCAATATCATAGCAGCAATATTGATGGTCATGTGATTATCATCAATGTATCTGTTAAGAAGGCCAAGTGCAATGGTGTTGTTGTCCATTGCACTCTGATAGTCAGAAAGTTGCCTAGATAGCATCTTCAAGAACACCTCGTCCTTGACCCCAAGTGCTGAAAGGATAGTGATAGTTTGCCGATTAAGAGTAGCAGAGGAGAATTGTGAGCATCGAATGATTTCGAGACCATTGTATGCAGCTGTGAACTTTTGCTGACTTTTGCGAATGTGGACTTCATTATTTTTCGCATCAGGAGAAACGACCAATATGCCTTTGCAGCCACCGAGTCTGAATTGAAAAGCCGATGGTGCTGAGTTAACACGGAGTTTTAGTTCAGCAGTAATCATTTGAGCAAGGTAAGGCGAGATCTTGCCAACTCCATCAGTGAAGCAGTACCTACCCCTTTCAATATCAGGAATCTTCACAATGTCGGGCGCCGAAAGTCCTTTAATAGCTCTAGTTGTTGAGAAGCACTGGCCAAGCCTTGCAGCATATTTTGCAACTACATTGATGTGAGAGAAAGTCCCCATCCATTGGCGGATATCGTTGCAAGACAAATCGGGAGGTGGACAAAAGAAGTATGCGCCATTCTCTCGAAATTGAGAGTTTCCAAAGGCTAAAAACTCGTAGTGCCTATCGCCAATACGAATACCATTACTGATCACTCTAAAAACTCTTGTGAATATTGCATCATTACGAATTTTATCGGCACATGAATTGATCCGGCCCTACATATCTATCAATAAGGGAAGCACAGACAGGCACTGTGGAGGAAACTTACCTCGAACTTTTCATCAGTAAACTGAACACGTAAAAATCGACCTTCTTTGTTCTCCTTCGAGTAATGTCGCAAGACTCTGTTGGTAGTTTCAACAGTAGGCGAATTGAATAAGATTGAGGTCGGTGTTACCGTAGCTTTTCGTGAAAACGCGCAATAATGGGGAATATCAGTCAAGGAAGAAAATGACAAAGCTTCATTGTTGGTGAAAATAGACGAAGGGTCGTATAGACGTTTGGAACTGTAATGCTCGGCAATGTACTCCAGTAAATTCCTTGCCTTGGCTGAATCTTGTGCAGATAATTTGGCTAAGGAATTGATGAACTTTTCGTCGATGTTATATTCGTTGACAATCCCCCTTGAAATGCACACTTCCAGTTGATATCGTACTTCAAATGTTAGATGCACTTTAATACTGTCTGGATCAAGAGAACGAAGGCCGGATTTCGTAGTTTTATCTTCACCGGGGTCTATGAGAGACCATAGCTTGGCTTTACGCATTGGAGTTATATTGAAGCTATTCAGAGGGACCATATCGATATTGAAATCTTGGAGAGCAGCCTGAACCATTTGAAATTGATCTGAAGAACATTGACTATTATTGAAAGTCCAACGGTAAGTAGTCCAGCGACCTACATAAGTCAGTTTGATTCATGAAATAGAAGTATCTTGAGTATAAATTACCAATATCAATAACTGGCCTCTTCTTGTGCAGAGCGATTGGGCGATGTTCAATGATAAAAGGGTCAAATTCAATATCGGTTTGCCGAAACCAGCCATCCCATTGGTTCCATGATAGCGCTCCTGATTGAGGTACTTGTCCATCATTACGCCAGCGGAAGAATCTAGGCGGACTGTCCAGAGATATCAAGAGCGAGAAATTTCCTCTTCTAAGATCAACTTTCTGGATTGACTTCAATTGACCAAAAGGTATAGTGAACAAGTATTTCTCACGGCGATTATACTCTCCAATCTTGGATGTACTAGGGAAGTCAATGTCGCCCTGAATTCGAGGGTCCACAAAATGCACCGTGAAATGAGCTTCAAGTTCTTTACGCCTCAGATTCAGAGTAAGCGTAAGATCGCCAGGCTCCTGGGATTCCAGGGTCTCCATAGGCATCATGCATTCCGGATCGATCATGACTCCAAACTGAAGAGTAGAAGAAACAAGTTTCGTCTTTTCAGGGTAAAAAACATTTCTCCTGAAGGGGCTTTTCACGGTTCTTTCTCTTCTCGGGGTAGAATCGAGCCGGAGTCTGACATTATAAGTATTGCCAACCGCAGTGGTGATTGGATATTGACCACTTCGCCAGAAAGGGCTCGGAGCAGGTGAAAATGTCACTTTTCCTCTTTGGCTTTTGTCTGCAAATATCTCGATATACACAATTTTACCTTGCCTTTCCAGATTACTGATCATATCGTGTACTGTAGTACCGGGCTGTATGTTATCAATGAGCAATACGATTTGCTCTGTCTCATCGACTTCACGTCTGACCTGAATAGCTGGAAGCCTGGGAAGCATGGTCGCCATTTTTGCGATTATGAGGTTGCGTGTGTCAATGTGAAATGAGGATATCAATCTTCAATATGCAGTTGATTTGGGAGTCTGGAAGACGTTGTCAGCTTTGTAGCTTTGCTGGAAACTTTGCTGGAGATGAAGGTTCAAACTTTACAAACCTTTGGCTTAGGTACAGGTTGAAAACCCTCTCCTTTCAATAGAAAAGAATTACTTGGCTGGAAAATAGGGTGGTATGTAAATTCAGGGGTTGATCTTCCAAATGGTAGAATAATCGAATGATAAGATGCAGTCAAGTCGAGAAACGACAGCTTCAGAGGAATTGATGCTTTCGTTACCTGGTAACTAATGACGAGATAGAAGACAAATCAGTATTACAAACGGAGGCACTGATTCTAGTTGAATGGAAAAGGAAGTGAGAAGTTGGAGATTGTTGGAGGTTGAAAGTTTGAGTAATGAAAAAGGGAAGAGTAGAGGTAGTGATTGATTTTGTGGAGGTGGAGGTGGAGGTGGAGGTGAGGGTAGAAGTGAATGATCAACGCTAGCTTCAAAAAAAAGTGAACGCGAGAGACAGAGAGAAAGAGTGAAAAAAAAGGCAGACGGAAAGAACGTTTCATCTTCTGTGTAATGTTTTCATTGCGTTTGTCGTTTGTCTCGTCTTCAACCCAATTTCAAGAACTGCAGCCCCTAGCACCTGCAAACAAAAGACGTAGGTGCAAAAGAGCAAGCATTGAGAAGAGATAAAGATCTTTTCGAATACACAAATGACTGATGATTTCAAAAGAAGGGTAGTTTGAAATCCGTGAGGTTCACATGCATACCTGATGCATAGAAGTATTGTAGCCAGACTTTGACATTGTATTGAGCTGTGAAATGTGATAGAACTTGGTATTTCCTTTCCCTCTGTTCTGTTCTGCGCTGTTCTGCTCTGTCAATAGATTGAGGCTCTACCAGTCAAGACTCAATTCACTAGGAAATGACCATTCACCATAAATTCAAACCATATTCAAATACCTTTTTTGCTTCGATGCATCGTTCTCTTACTTCCGTTCGCTGCACTTATATATATAGAGACGATCCAAACAGAGTTCTAGACGTAAAAGAATCGTGAATTATTGCGAAAAGAGATAGTACCCATTGAATGGTGGGGTAGAAAGAATGCGTGAGCCCGTGATGAGGATAAGTGAAGGCATTGTCAAACCTTACATTTAAGGCAACATATCAGCAGCCTCGCTTAAGATAGCGCACAAATTTGGAAGGAACTTTTGAGAAAGTCTTCAATTTTGATTTTAGAACTTTTCTTTTCGACAACTTCGACGACAACAACCACCCCAATACTCGTTTCTCCATACACACAGAGACGCAACCATGGGTAGAGGACCGTAAGCATAGCCTTTTCTTTTATTATTATTTGATCGAATTACGAGAAGACCTTGTCGACTTTCTCAATCGATTTGAATGTTCAATCGATTGGTATTGGCAATGACATTGGGAGATATGGGATTTCTTTGAACATTGGGACTCGCCGATCATTCGAAAGCTACAATTGCCAACGATGAACTATTCTGCGACCGCTCTGTTCAATCACCTCATATCCACTTTTCGCAACAATCTACAGTTCAGCACATCTCAAGAAATCATTTACTAATATTTTTGTCGCATATAGAAAGAAGCACCAAAAGCGCTTGAGCGCGCCAAACCACTGGCTCTTGGACAAATTGTCCGGTGCCTATGCTCCTCGTCCTTCCGCCGGTCCACACAAGCTTAGAGACTGCATGCCACTTATCGTCTTCATCCGTAACCGTCTCAAGTATGCTCTCAACTCCCGTGAGACCAAGGCAATCGTTATGCAACGTTTGATCAAGGTCGATGGTAAGGTTCGCACCGATGCCACCTACCCAGCCGGCTTCATGGATGTTATCGGTATTGAGAAGACCAGCGAGAACTTCCGTTTGGTTTACGACACCAAGGGACGTTTCACCGTTCACCGTATCCAAGCTGAGGAGGCCGAATACAAGCTCGGAAAAGTCAAGAGAGTGCAATTGGGCAAGGGCGGAATCCCATTCTTGGTCACGCACGATGCTAGAACGTAAGTTCTGTCAGACATCATTCAGCCGTTGGTCCAAGCTTTGGTCGATCCCCTCCGACACAAATTCTGCTAGATCAACGGTTTGAATTTTTTTATTCCCCCCAGAGATGCTAATAAAATTTTCTAGTATCCGTTACCCAGATCCATTCATCAAGGTTAACGACACCGTCAAGATTGACCTTGCTACCGGAAAGATCACCGACTTCATCAAGTTCGACACTGGTGTTATCGCCATGGCTACTGGTGGTCGTAACATGGGACGTGTTGGTGTCATCACTCACCGTGAACGTCACGATGGAGGTTTCAACATTGTCCACATCAAGGATGCCATAGACAACTCCTTCGCTACCCGTGAGAGCAACGTTTTCGTCATCGGAGCCGAGAAGCCATGGATCTCCCTTCCAAAGGGTAAGGGTGTTAAGCTCACCATTGCTGAGGAGAGAGACCGCAGACGTGCTCACGCCATCGCTGGTCAATAAATGTAGTACGTTTTGCTTTGTATTTGGGCCAGGGGGAGTCATGGAATGGGATATTAAAAATCTCCTTTTGTATTACGCAAAAGTTTATGAGAAATATGACGACACATTTTAGTATGAGTCGAATTTTTACCACAATGATATAACCCTCCAAATCCAACTTCAAACGGATGGTTTTTGAACTTTGATTGTGATGTGAAATGGGGAATGTAATAATGTATCAAGGCCATCATGATTCTAAATCCCAACCAGTACTGAAAACCCGATCTCGTTCATGCGGGAATGATTGTATTGATACCGTTATCTAATATCTTTGCACATCAATAAATTACTAGAGGCCATCGTACCTGCTGAAACCTCCATACTTTTGAATATTGCAGCAATCACATTTCCCGCACAAGTATGTGGTAAAGTATCATTTAACATTTCTTCTTTTCCCTTCAACCCAATCCCATCAGTGTAATTCGAATTTCGTATTCCATCATCTATGTTTCTATATTTGTTATATGCAACGATATCGATATTCGGAAGGACCGAGAATTCAGGTTGAGGGCTTTAGTTTACCGATTTCGAGTATCTAATGGAGTGAGGGAGGAGGGAGTGAGTATAGAGCCGATGTGATGTGATGTGATGGGTGATTTCGGTGATTTCTGTTAGGTAAGAGGGAGTTTTGGGTGTATTGGTATAGTATAGTATATCGAAATACTTTGCAGTCTAGAGTCTAAAGTCTAGAGTCTAGAGTCTAGAGTCTATATAGAGAAATCAATTGAGAAAGGGAGAGAAGCTAGGTATGTGGGTAGGTATATTGCTATCATATCATATCATATTATATCGATTTCCTAGAATCTCGAGGTTAGAATCTTGAGATTAGAATCTTGAGGTTAGAATATAGAATGTAGTGTAGAATTATAAGATACAAAAGTAATATCTTGCATGACATTACATGACATTTATATTGCTTGTTGTTATATGTTAAGAGTAAGAGTACTAGATAGGTACTTAGGTACCTACATATGTGTTATGTGTTATGTAAATGTATAGACATCGACCGATATATGTATATAATGTTGTACATGCACATATACATGCACATATACATACATACATACATACATACATACATACATACATACATACATACATACATACATACATACATACATACATACATACATACATACATACATACATATATACATACATACATATATACATACATACATATATACATACTATATATACAATACATACATACATATATACATACATACCATACATACATATATATATATATATATATATACATACATACATATATACATACATACATACATATATACATACATACAATATAGTACATACATACATACATATATACATACATACATACATATATACTACATACAATACATACATGCGTGGGTATAATGGGTATGTAAGTACATAAGTATAGAGCAATACACAACCTAGACGAAACAAGCAGACAGACAGGCATCTGAGCTGTCAAAATAGCATTTAACTTTCAAGGACATTCAGAAGGTAAACGTGGGGTAACACGACAGGTGGATAGATTGGAATTCCGGAATGGAGGTGAGAGCAAGTTTGAGATGCTAGGGAGATATTCTAGGTAGGTAGTAGGTAGGTAGGTAGGTAGGTATTGGGTGGGAAGTCTTGGATGGATTGGAGAGTGGGGATTGGTGAGATCCGAGGAGAAGAGAAGATGATGAGTACTCTATGAAGTTGGATTATTGTTGGTGAGGTTTTAGTGTGGGGGTGGGATGTGGGATGTGGGATGGGATTGGTTATTGGTTGGATGTGGATCATATTTATTTTTATGTTTCTTTATTATTTATTTATATTGGCTTTGGCTTTGGGGAAGTTTCGTATGGGGATTGGATTTGTGTGAGGATTGCTGAGAGAGGTGACGGTGGTGAGAGTGGCTCGGTGGTCAGCTGGTGAGAATTTTTGTGTCATGATTGATGGGTGATGGGTGATGGGAGGGGTAGGGGTGAGGTGAGGTGAGATGAGATGCCATGCCATGCCATGCCATGCCGTGCCGTGCCGTGCCGTGCTGGGAAGTAAGTGGTGGTTCGCCGGTTCTATCGTATTCAATGGGTAATGTTTCTTGTGTAATATGTTGGAGTGGAAGTAGAGACGGACACAGACACGGAAAGTAGAGGGTAGAGAATGATTGCATATCTATGTATAGAACACCAGGTACGTAGGTATATCTGTGTATAGAACACAGGTACGTATGTATATCTATTGAGGTATTCGGATGTATGGGAACGAGTCGATGATATGAGGTTGAGTGGAGAATGATGGTGATGGTGATTGTGTTTGATCTGCATATCCTGTGCTGTGTGTGCCGTATAAAACTACCTAGGTAAGTAATCCGAGTCGAGGAGTGAAAAGCCCGATGTAGAATGGGAATTTCATTCAGAATTGGGAAGATCAATGTGAATTGAGGAATATCATATCTAATATCTAGTATCTATTAGATGAGAATAAGTCGAATGAAATATAAGTGGTATTATTTTTAAGAATACAGATAAGTAGAGAGACAGATAGTTAAATAGAGAACTTTATAAACAATCGAGACCTCCATATCACATCCTACCACAGCGAGAATTTGTCTACTAACTCATGATCCACAAACAAACACGAGCAAGTAGGTACTTCTTTGATGACGACTTAATACTTGTAAACTCTACTTTACCTCCTCATCTAGGTCAATTGCAGATTAGAAAAGAAAATGAACACGGTCCACTTCTGTACGAAGAAGGAGAAGAACTAAGTAAAGTGTCTAGGTGAGTACCAAGGTAGGTAGGTAGGCAGGTAGGTATGAAAGAGATCCGGATTCTCTGATTTATATATAAAGTTCTCAAGTCAGACGTCAGATTGATAGTTAGTAATGATTTTGAAATTCTTTCTCTCACCTTGATCATTTGATAACTATAATCTTCTGCATCTCATTATCTTTTTAATCTGCGAGGTATTTACCTCCTCTTTCAACTGAAATCTTCACCATAATCCATCTGGAATATATATATTTATAAACATACATACATTTCTAACGTACATATATATTTACAAGGGAAAAGCTGATCACGCAAATCTTCATTCTTATCCTGGTTCATATCAAGGTCGTCTCGTTGGTGTGTATGTCACATCCATACGTCCATCCATCCATCAATTCCCATTTCGTTCTCTGAGCCGTGGCCATGCTTTCGGTGAGACATCAACCGACAATCATCACGGGGAAAGGTACACCATATTTTCGCATTTCTACTGCGAGAGTATCTGAAATATCTCAAATGAGACAATTGAGATATCAAAGTAGAAGTGCGAAATTAAATACACATACAACTTCTCAAGTATCAGCCTCGATACCGAAATCCAATTCCAAAGACAAAAATGGATGGTCGACACAAAATGCTCTTTTGTTGGCGGCGGCCACCGCCGGCTTAGCTTACACGTTTGCCATGGTACGGGAAAAGAATAGGAGGGGTGAGGGTAGGGATTATGCGGATCCGGAGAAGTTTACGGTACCTCAATATGCAAATATCAAGGAGATGGAGACGGTGAGTTTGGTTGTGGAATTGATATCAAGGAGGGGAAATAATATCAAGGGGTGGAAATGAGAGATGAAAATGCAAAGGGAGAAATAAAAGCTGATCACATGGTGAATGTATAGGCCCTGAAGGAAATCCGAGAAGCTACAAATGAGGATACTATTTCTACAGACCCGGAAGATTTGTTGGCTCACGGATAGTAAGTTATTGTGTTTTCATCAGCATAGGTGGTCTTCATGGATTCGAAATATCGCTCGTCTCACACGAGAAGTGGAAATATCTTGGCTAGTCACACTGCAGACAGCTTCTCGAAGACCTTTTGCCAAATTCACAAAATACTCAACTAATCTAAATCAACGCTCAGAATGGTCATCTACCAATGTAGATGGTTTACCAGTAGCAGTGGCCTATCCAAAATCTACTCAGGAGGTCTCTAAAATTGCGTCGATATGTCACAAATATCGGGTACCAATTGTTCCTTATTCAGGGGGATCGAGTTTGGAAGGAAATGTATCATGTCCTTATGGAGGTGTTAGCGTGGATTTTGCTTTCATGGATCAAATTATTACATTTCATCCAGAAGATATGGATATTGTTGTTCAACCATCTGTTTCGGTAAGAGCCCTAGATTGGTTTTGATTTCCGTCTACCTCTTCCAGTCTGTGTAGATTCTAATCTTCTTCTAGTGGATGGATCTCAATGATGAACTTGCAAAACGTCAATCCGGACTCTTCTTCCCAGTGGATCCAGGTCCAAGTGCAAAAATAGGAGGTATGGTAGGAACAAACTGTTCCGGTACCAACTGCGTTCGTTACGGTTCCATGAAAGATTGGGTCATAAATCTAACCGTCGTGCTCTCCGATGGAACAATCATCAAAACCAAACGACGACCTCGTAAATCTTCCGCAGGTTACAATCTCAACAGTCTCTTTGTAGGCTCCGAAGGAACCCTCGGTCTTGTAACTGAAATCACACTCAAACTCGCTGTCGTGCCACAAGAATACTCAGTTGCTGTAGTCACTTTCCCTACGATCCGTGATGCGGCAGCGGCAGCAGCTGGTGTCATGCGCGCGGGTATTCAAGTCGCAGCTATGGAAATCATGGACGAAGTCCAAATGAAAGTCGTCAATCTATCCAAATCTACCGCTCCTCGTCAATGGAAAGAACTCCCTACGCTCTTCTTTAAATTCTCCGGTACCAAAGCATCAGTGAAAGAAAACATAGCAATGGTGTCCTCCATTGCCAAATCCCATCGCGGTAGCTCCTTTGAATTCGCAAAAGACGCACGAGAACAAAAGTTATTGTGGTCAGCGAGGAAGGAATCATTGTGGAGTATGCTAGCATTGAGAAAAAATGGAAGTGAAGTCTGGAGTACGGATGTGGCGGTACCTTTCTCACGATTGGCGGATATTATTGAGTTGAGCAAGAAGGAAATGGATGATTTAGGACTTTTTGCTAGTATTTTGGGTCATGTGGGAGATGGAAACTTTCATGAGAGTATCATGTATGATCGGACGGTGCCGGGAGAGATGGAGAAGGTGGAGAGGTGTGTGAAGAATATGGTGGTTAGAGCTTTGGAGATGGAGGGCACAGTAACGGTATACTTGACTTTTGGTTTTTTGGTGAAACTTGGATCAACAACTAACGGAAATATAGGGCGAACATGGAATAGGAATCGGAAAGAAAGAATCTCTACTCTTGGAACTAGGACATGATACTTTGGGAGTCATGAAATCTATCAAATCGGCATTGGGTGAGTAATCTTTTACCTCTTCTCCTCTCTTCTCCTCTCCTCTCTCCACGTCTTCTCCAAATCTATCAGATTGCATATCATATACCCACAAAACCCAACTAACCCAACTTCCCAGATCCACATTGGATCATGAATCCAGGTAAAATAATAGATATCCCCAAGTAAACCCACCTCGCTTCGCTTCGCTTCGTTCCGTTTTCGCTTCCTAGGTACCTTCCTTCCTTCTATGATTTGGTTTGGTTTGGTTTGGTATAGTTTGGTATGGTTTGGTATATATTCACATCGCATCACATGGCATAGCATAGCATAGCATATCATCAAAATCACCTTGGATTGGTACTTACATCTTGGAGGCCAAAATATCCACGAACAGGATTTGCGGAAAGGAGTGAAAATGAATAGGAGCGGGATAAAAATTGCATAGGTATGCGTATGGGTATGGGTATTGGTATGGGTGGGTATGAGCATGAGCATGAGCATTGGGGGAAGGGAGGGGATTGTCTTTTTGTTTGTTTGTTTGTTTGTTGCATTTGTAGTTTTGTTTGAGTTTGAGTTTGAGTTTGTATGAATCTTGATTTCGGTTGGAGATTGGGGATTTGGATTTGGATTTTTGTTGTGGTATTGAGATATTATTATGTTGAGTTGAGTTGAGTTGCGTTGCGTTCCGTTCCGTTGCATTGAGTTGAATTGAATCGAGTTGAAATAAATTCTATTATATTGCATTGAATTCCTTCAAACGAAAAGGATACCTAGTATCCTCCCTCTTGTTGACTTGATGGAAAATAATATGGAATGAAATGAACTAGAATGAACTGAAATGGAATGGAATGAATGGATTGAAATGACATGGAATGGAATGAACCTGGATTGAAATGAATACCGCCCGCTTCAGAGGAGAGACTACAAGGAAGGAGAAAGGGTAGTGTATTTATTTATTCGGTTATTTTGAATTTCTGAATTTTCTGATCTGTATTGCGGAATGGAGAGAGGGGAGGGGAGAGAAGTAGAGATATATACTATATAACATAGTATATAATAGTATATAACAAGATTAAAATAAACTAGAAGAATAAAATGACATGAAATAAAACTATCTACTAGATATATAAAGCGAACAATTTATTTATCTATTCAAATAGTAATATTATTTATTAGTAAATATTTAGTTTATAACTTGTTCTGTTTTATATTTGAGATATTTGAGATGAGAGATATAAGAGAAAAAAAGTATGAGAAGGGAGGGAGAGGAGAAATAAGAGATATGAGAGATATGAGAGATATGAGAGATATAAGAAAGACAGTATAAAAAAGACAAAGTATGGGAAGGAGGGGAGAGGAGGGGAGAAGAGGAGAGGGAAAGGAGGGAAAGGAGGGAAAGGAGGGGAGGTTTATATATACGGAGAACTAAGCTTTCCATTTCCATTTTCATTTCTATTTCTCCTTTTCTACGTGTCACGGGATCACCTCTGGGAGTATTCAGAAGCTTTACCGCTGAGCTAAACGCCCAAAAGACTAGGAGGTAGAACTGGAAGTTCTACCTTACTCTCATATATATAGCAGGACAGGACAGGACAGGACAGAAAGGGCTTAGTGTCACCCCGTGACACTATGTCTCTGGTTTCTCTTGCTATTTTTTTAATTTTTTTAATTGTTAATTTTTAATTTTTGAATTTTTAATTTTTTTTTATTTTTTCATTTTGTGAGTTGTTAATTTTTTTAAGGTTGAATTTTTTTAATATTTTTAATTTTTTTATTTTTTTAATTTTTTTAATTTTTTTAATTTTTTTAATTTTTTTTAATTTTTTTAATTTTTTTAATGTTTTCTTAATTTTTTTTAATTTTTTTTAATTTTTTTTTAATTTTTTTAATTTTTTAATTTTTTTTATTTTTTTTTTATTTTTTTAAATTTTTTTTACTTTTTTTTTATATTTTTTATTTTTTATATTTTTTATATTTTATATTTTCTATATTCTATATCTATATCTTCTATATCTTCTATAGATATCCTCTATAAATAACTACAATATCTCCAAGTACCTACTAGGTACCTAGTAGATAGACAAAAAAGGGATTGAAATGCTTGCTTGCTTGCTTTGGTGTGAAATCTGTCTGGATTCTTCTTTCTTCTCGCTTTCTTCTTTTTTCAGCATTTACCAGACAGCTGGAGAGGACGCAGTAGGAATGGAATGGAGATGAAGTACACGCTTTTTTTTTTTCTGAATTATATACAGTTTTTAATACACGTACAACTTCTTTGTATCTCTCTTGATTCTCTCTTTAATACTTCAAACTAAGATTCAGGAGATCCATCTCCTTTCGAAGATCGTTACGCCTATGCAATATAGCAGATGTGGTTTCCATAACCCCTCTCCCCTCTGCGACATAATTTTCCGTAAAAGTACCAATACCCCCAAACCTCTCGCCTCAAATCGAAATATAATGCACAAATATCTCTCCTCAAAATTAATAATCATCTCCACCACCTCCGTCCCCTCCATCATCATCATCATCCTCACCATTCTCAAAGTACTGCTCCGCATCATAATCCCCACCCATATCCTCCTCATCATCCTCATAATCATTATCCTGCTCCTCCTCAATTTCTTCCTCTCCCAAATCCTCTTCTCCCTCTGCCCCCTCTACCCCAGTCGCCTGTTGAATCTTCGCCAACAGCGCTCGAGTCTTCTCCGAAGGATCCTCCTCTCCCATCGCCGCCAACGCAGCATTATCCTTCGCAGTCTTCGCCTCCTCCTCTCCACTCAACACGGACCATAACTCCTGCGGATAAAATTCCTTGTTAAAATTCATCCCGCTCACTAGAGGTATCGCTCGCTTTTTTCGCTGATACTTCATACTGTAAGTTTCGACCGCGAGGAAGGGATCGAAGTCCGCTTTGGTTTGTCGTCCGTATTGTTCGTTGAATTGCTTTTCTCCAAACGTTCGCACAGGCGCATCGGTGTCGCGTTTGGTAGAGTGTGTGTAGAGGGGTCCGCGGTGAATTTTGTCGCGGAGCGTGCGGTAGTATTTTACTTGCGTGCGTTCTTGATGTGTGAGAGGGGAAGGTCGTTTGAGGTTGGGATGCCGCTGAAATGTATGTTAGTAGATGTTTTTGTATGAGCGCATCAAAATTCAAGGATAGAAATTGGATATAGAATGAGCCTCCAAAGACTTGGAGAAGGTGTGACGGAACGTACTGGATAATCTTCACTTGGGGTGAAGTCTAATTTCAAGGTAGCGTCATGCTCCCATGTTGCGCCTTTTATACCGCCTCCTCTGGCACCTCCTCTACCTCCACGAAAGGCCATCCTATACTAGATTCTGAAATCCTTGTGACGATTGACGGTTGCCGAGCTTCGATGATTCGCAACAAGGCGGGATGTGTTTTGAGTAGCACCTGGTTTTGTCGAGATATATTGTGGTTCGATTGGCTTGAGATGTTTGCGATAAGTGATATTCAGGATATATGCGAACTAAATCAGAACTCCAAGGTAGGTAGTTGCTTGAATAACTTTGCGCGTCACTTTTTGTAAAAAAATAAAAATTGGGGGGATGATGGGAATTTGGTCTTAGCTTCGTAAATATTATTCCCCAAGATTTTCTGCCATTCTAAAAAGGCGGTGAAACTAACTAAAATGGCGGGGTGTAATTGTAAGTGTAAAGCTGTATCTACCTAAATACAATCTTGATCGTTATACTATTGATAATCATCGATAACACTCTTTACTTTTCTGCGTTAACCTTCTAATTTCGAATAATCAACAGATTTTAAAATCCTGGGAAGTTTTGTCTCAAATTCTTACATCACTGTGCAATATACAATCATTGAATAATACAACGGCTCAGAAACACATTGTCCAAAATGGACATAGACGATACCCCCATATTCAAATTGGAGGAGCTTGAAGCTCATCTCCAGGATTTGGTTAAATCTCCAGATACCCCAATCGATACAAAACTCTTTGATGCCGTAGAGCTGCAACTTACAGGTATGTACTGTCTTCTACTCTACATACTAGAAGAGCTCTAAAGGAAGCTGTCGTGTTCCACAATCTTCACGGCTTCTAATCTCCTTTTAGAATACAACATCTCCCCTCTGATCCCGAAGCTACTTCCTACCATTACCCAGATCCTCCTTACCACACAACAAGACCCTACAGTACTCGCCAGTCTATCCGTAAAGTTGTTACAGCCAATCACATTTCCCCAAGCTCTCCAGTTGGCTTCCGAAGACGCTTTGATTCTCGCACTTCGATCTCCCATACCTGCTGCGAATATTCTTGCCATAACAATCATTCAAAAGGCCACCAAAAGTTCCGCAGATGTAGCAAATCTATCTGGTATGAGAGGAGTGGTCGAGAATTGTATCCGAACATGGCTTAGCAGCCCTCATGTCGGAGTTGGAGAGAAAGCTACGCAAGTGCTAGGAGAGCTTTTAGATATCGACTCTGTTCGAGAATTGACACATATTACAAATGGAGTAGGAAATATGGATATTGATTCTCAGCGACCACCTGGACAAGGAGCGCTTTGGCGAAGAATATTTCAAGACGTCGAAATCTACGAAATACTTTTCTCGCTCTGTAGCTTGAAGACTATCGGCAAAGGTGATGGCCAATTGGATGAGAAACAAAAGACACTTGCTCAAGCTCGTTTATTGAGAATTCTTCCTCGTTTGGTAACCGTGGGCTTTGATTACCTCACCGGTCCAACGTTGAGCCAAGTCGACAAGGAGTATATATCGCCACAGGACGATGGGAAACTCGGGCTACTCTACTTCGCGGCAATGGAAATGGTGGATAAAGAAGACCTGCTTATGCACATGACGCTGACTATTTTCTTTTTGGAATTGCTGGAGGCACTGAGTACTGTGGAATGGTTCTTCGGCCCGAGACAGACTTATGTCGCTGAAATGATTAGGAAAGCTATGGAGTTAGACGTGGAGTTACGTCAATCGATTGAGGGTGTGACTCTATCGCCAGAATCAACCTCTCAGACGAAAGAGTTGATAAATTCTCTAAAGCTACTATCTTAGATGTGGCGTTAGTTATTCAAGCCATACCCTTTGATTTCAACAGCATATAGAGTTTACAGCTCGGATCGTCGTCTTGAAAACCTTAATAGCATATCTCCCGCTTCTCCCATGTGTAACCTGTGGTTAAGGGGGCATCGCTAGAGAATCATTGACTAATGACATGATATAAAAAGGGTCATATTGGTAATGGAATAGTTGAAGAAATGACCAAAGAAATTGGTAACAGCACAATTACAGGTTGCATAGGTTTGGCTTCTTGGTGCTGCATCTAATCATAACGTTGGCGTGCGGTTAATACCGTTGATATCAATATTCCAAGCAATAGCTGAAAGTTGTAGAAAAGAAATGAACATGTTGCATTGCCTTCAATATTACTACCTTTCTACATACTATGTTCGTACATGATCATGTCAATATATTCAATATATGACTGTTGTTGCATCTGAATTTAGCCTTAATGTATTAGTCAATGAGATAGCAGCACAACTTCCCCACATGATTATATATTCGACTTGTTATCATTTTTCAAGACTTGTTAGCATTGTTAAGTTACCCTACGAGCCTACAAAGTTGTCCAATATAAAAAAAGATACTGCGCTACAACTCTACTATTTGTGTCCAAGGTTAGAAGTATATACACTCTTTCTTGGCCCAAATCAATCAATACGAAGCAATTTTGAAGACTCTTAAGAATTGCACCGGTTCTTCCATTAAAGTTTTTTATCCAATGGGTCTGAGTTCAAGATGATCAACAGGCATCATTCACGTAATCTGGGATGGCTCGGACG